AAAAAAGAGGATGTTGGCACAAACTAAAAAGGGTTTGTTTTGAGTAACACAAGCGATTTTGCAAACTATTATATCCATTTTGGTCAGTAATTGATAAAGAATAAACAGTCAGATAAATTATAAGGAGAAGAATATGGTACCCAAAAAAAAAAGAATAAATTTTGTGAGTTGATATACAAGTATTTTTACAATAAAAGAATTTATAATTTTTGAGGTCATTTTATAACTTTATTAGTTTTAAATTACAATTTTTTGGGGGGTCATTTATAATTTTAGTGATTTGCGATCCAATTACAATTTATAATCAATCCTAAGTAATTCAAAAGTTATACATAATCTTTAAAAATTATTAACAACCCCCAAAGTTTATAACAACTGATAATACTAAGAGTAAATTCATGGTCCAAACAAGTCCTATGGCACAACACAAGGATTGGCAGACTGTTGCTCTAAAATTTATTGGAATCCACACATGTATATCTCAATCGATAGATAATTTTTAAATAATTGTTTGTAGACAAACATATCCTAGTGTATAAATAGACAAGAAACATGCACATATTGTAATTAGAAAGCTGCAATTACCTTCTTCTTCAAGATATACAAATTAGAGGAACAACAACCTCCATTATAGTAGATTAATCTAATTCTTAAGCTTGATAAACCACCTATTTTCTTCTGTTGATACTCACTGTTATCTTATTCACACACAGCTCGTTTGTTTCGTACAGAGCTCACTTTGCACTCTTAGCTCACGCTTCTTGATCTCCTACACCATTAACAACCAACAGTAAAATTTGTAAATAGTAATAGGATACCAATGAAGAGTACTATGATTATATATCTTCCTTTGGGGGGAAAAACGCCTGGCGGGTTCTGCAAGCAAGCTTCAAGTTACAGAGGAAGCATGCAAAGATCTGGCGTTTGATGGTTCCTCTGACTGGAGTCACAAATGGATACATGTTGTTCTTACTGTTGCTTTTAGTTGAAGCTTCCTCTTCCCCCTGATCAGAAATCTTCTGGGTTTTTTCCATTGCCTTCTTGCTCATCTCCATATAGATATCTGGCGTTAGAAAACATGAAAGATGTTCAAATTTTTAACGTAACTATGAGAGATAAACACACACACATACGCATTCTCTCTTATCTATGTCTACTAGTAATTGCACGTGGCCAAAGCCACGATGTAATAAAAAAATTGAAATAAAATTCAACGAATATTACATTGCTTAAAAACATTTTAAACAGTAGTAAGCAATGAAAAAAGAAAGTTAAAGCTACTGGACCGATTGGCCTACCTGCAGGGTAGGTGGTGGAGGAGAGAGAGGGTACGTGTTTTTGTGCTTCAGTTCCTGCGTCTGTGGTCTTCTTCTTCTTCTTCTTTCTTCTTCTTCTTCTTCTTATATAGATACAAGTATAGATATTCGAATATAGAATTACAGATACACGTAGATAGAGAGAAAGGATGAGGTAAAAGAAGGGTCTGGCTGAAAGTCTCTGATTTCGGCTAGAGTGACCTTCCTAGGAACTCCCTCCATTCCAGGACAGTATACGTGTAAGAATGTCATTGCTCATTTCCATTGCTTCCCTTAGTTAAGGTATTCTCAATTTAGGGGTGCAACCGTTGATTATGGCTGACCACACGCCCACGTAGATCACCTGCGTCATCTTCCGTGTTCTATCGATCATGGCTGCGTGTCAATCTTCTGGAAACGAAAACGTTTGGATCCTTTCGATCATTACAAAATAATATTTTAATCTTTGAGTAGGGAGAATGATGCTTGAGGATGATTTATAAAATTAAGTTTTTTTTTTTTTGAATTAGTAATTTATCAAAAGTTTTTATGGAAAAAATATTCTTTCAATAAATAAGAAATATTTCAATATCCTCATAAAATTTAAGTAAAAAGTGTTTTACAAAAAGGGTGTTTGTATGATCAAACAAAAAAAACAAAAATACTAGTTTGCATTACAATTACTAATATATTCTCAAAAAAAAAAGAAAGAAGTGAATTTATGTAGCAACGACATTACTAGTTGTGGCGCGATATAATGAGTGGTGGAGATTGTAAGGTATCAAATAAAACTAATGCTATTAAGACATAATTTAATAACATAATTTGAGGATTTAATATAGTATGACTATTGAATTTATAATATTGAGACTCAGTGATAATTTAATGTTGGGACTCACTGACAATCTAATAGTTACGATCATTAAGTTGTCAAATTATACCCTTAAATTATATTTCAATAACATTGCTCCAAATAAAATAATCAAACACTTGAATATCTCACACAACAATTGACCAAAGACCGGAGAAAATAAAACAAGACATCAAAAAAGGAATGAAGAGACGAAACAATGAAAACCGACAAAGAAATCCCAAATTGAACCCAACATTCTGCCAATGGAAGACTCCAAGAAAGTCTTTTACAAACAAAACAGATCAAATCTTAATAAAATATTAATAATCAATCATATTCTATTTTTAATAAAATAAATCAAAGCTAATTAGAATATTATGTGAGTCAAAACTCCCAAACCAATTAAAACATTAATAAAAAAATAAATAGAGAATAGAACACTTAGAGAGTTTTAATCAAACCCCAACTACGAGGGGTGGAGGTGGACCTAGTGGTTGTACAATAGTAAAGATAGTACCGAGTAAAGAAGAGGGGTTTTGTAGAAACGATTTAAAAGAAAGGAGGGGGAGAGGAGGGGGGGGGTTTGGTTTGATTGTACAAAATTATTTTTTGTTCTCAAAATTTTAAAAACAATCAAGAAGTTGTATGGACATATTTTTTTAGTTCCCCAGTTTTCGAAAAAAAGGAGAACGAGCTTTAAAAAACAAAAACAAGCTCAACTTGTTTTCCAATAATTTCATCCGCCCAATTTGAAAATTTAGGAAGCATACAAAATCACTTATTATTCACTTAAAACCCAAATTTAAAAGCATCATATTTTTGTTTTTCATCCAAATTCTGAAGCAACGTTGTCTTCAGTCTCCCCCTCTCCCCCCCCCCCCCCCCCCGGCGGCGCGTAGCTCTCCCTCTTTCCCTTTCTATTGATAAAATTTATTGATAACTCAGGGTATAATCCTCCACTAAAAAAATATTCAAGTTATGTCATTATTTGGCGAGTAATGCTCTTTAGATTTAAAATTTGACCTAATTTGTTGACATAATGAAGTAACTATATAAGAATCATTAGATCAACATCAAATTCTAATATTCGATGGAACTTACAGTTAATTCATAGATAACAAATCATGTTAGTAAATTAGGTCTCAACAACATTGCTCTTATTTTATTATTGGGAGCTCGAATGTATATTTGGTGTGCTCCGAGAGTTTGTTTACTTGGTCCAACCACTACTTTGTGTCGTGTGTGCACGTGCATATACGTGTGTGTGCACGGAGGGCATATAAGAGTAATCTTATTTGAACATAAAAATTTGACCTAATTTACTGATATAATGATGTGACTCCAGTGGAATCATTGGATTAATACTAAGTTTCAATGTTTGATGGAGTCCACTGTCAATCCAAAAATTATAGTGAATTAAATCAGCAAATTAAGCCAATAAATTACATCCCAACAGCATTGCTCATAAATAAAACCTAAATAAAACCTGTGGCAACCTATTCACCTATAAGCCACCATACCATATTTTTTTTTCTTGTAAGAGTATTTTTTTTTTTTTTTGAAAGAAACGGTAAAAATTCGATTAAATGGAAATATCCGAAAGGAGGGGCATTATAAAATCTGATGTTTCTTCCTCCCATACAGCAAAACATCCAACATGAATCGCGTATCTAATTAGCTTTTGTGTTATCTTTGTCCCTAATCTTCTGACTTTGGACACATTATGATAGATAAAATTATGTAAACTAAGCCTGATAACCACAAGAACAGAGTCCAAAGGATTAAATTCATTTTTGGTATCGAATAGCAGCTTCATCACATTAAATGAATCTCCTTCCAAAAAAATTTCATCGCAGCCTTGTTGCCCAGTAAAATGGACCATTTCCCTTGCGGCGAGGATCTCTGCCATTTGCGCCACACATGAGGTAGTGATTTTCTTGTACAAGCCTGTTTTGAAAGTACCTGGTTCATCCCTTATGACTACTCCTAAACCAATTAGGCAATTACTCCTCCTGCTGCGAAAACGGTTCCATCGAAATCCACCTTCAAAGAATCAGTTCTTCGGGGAGACCATAGAGAAACTGTATTAACTTCTGTCGTGACTAAGAGTAATTTGTGTCTTGTGTATACTTGTAAGAGTAATTTGCACCACCGAGGAGGTGGTTTAGTGAGGTATTGGTCGAATTTTTCACTAAGATTGGAGATTTAAGTCTTAAAATCCATATTAGGGTTCGGTGGTTGATCGCTATGTTAAGCTAATTAAATTTATTTCTAAGAGGAGTAACGGGCACTATCCGGGCCTCGTGATCCCACATGTGAGAATATATCACGGTAGTATTTGAGCGGTCTCTTTTACTCTACCTTTGTTCTGAAGCAAAAAAAAAAGTAATTCGTGTCTCTTTTACTCTACCTTTGTTCTGAAGCAAAAAAAAAAGTAATTTGTGTCTTTGCGCATGTATGTTTACGTGTTTGCATGTGCCTCTGTTTTCGTGCATTGTGCATTTTTGTGTGTGGGCGCAGAATCTTTGGATGCAAGTTTTAGGTTGTTCAACCTACTGAGTGGGTTTGGTAGGATTTTGGTTCAGCCTGGTGGGGGAGTCTCCCCTCTTCCTTTGTTTTAGTTATGCACCACAAAAATATGTGAATTCCAAATTGGAGTATTCTCGTAATAAATAAAAAATAATATAAATATTTCTAAAACTTTGGACTGTACGATTTAAGAAACAATAAGGGGTACCCGAAAAATATAACTAAACTGTGTGGGATGTTAGTATAATTTTGCCCAAAAGAAGCACAATAATTCCATCGTCATAATCTTTCATAACGCACACGACTCTTAAAAGTGTCCAAACACTCCCTTTCTTCCCCACTAGATGAGCCCCGGTAGCCTCAGACGACTCAGACGAACATCTGCTTTCTCTCTCTTTAAATCCACCACTAGCTTTCTTTCTCATACTCTTTTTCCTTTCCTCAAACACCTCTTTTACAAAACCCTAGATTTCTTCTCCTCAATGGACCCGATTTTCTTCCCGGAAGACGAAGAAGTTTTCGACCCTCGCTCTCACCAAAAACTCGTCGACAACCTCTCCGAACTCGACTCCGCCGCCGAGCCTCTCTACTTCGTTCCATTCAGGTACTCCTCAAGAATCAAGGAAAAAAGATTTTTCGTGTTCTTTGGATTGATTTAGTTTTAATAATTAATATAGGTCTGATATTTCAGGTGGTGGAATGAGGCGAGAGAGGCGGTGTCCACGGAAATTACCGGGGTTATGTATGAAACGACGACCTCGGTTAATAGTTCGAGGGGAAATGCGGACGATTGGGACTGGGATTGGGACTGGGATGTGGGTAGTGAAGTGGTGGGGGCCAAGAATGAAATTATTCTTAATTTGAGAAGACAATGTGAAGCCGGTAAAAGCGATTGTGCAGAAGAAGGATTTTTAGGTGGGGATTTCGCGTTGGTTTCAGAATGGATGTTCTTTAAGGCTCTGATATGGTGAGGAAAGTATAATTGGATTAATTGTGTTAATCTTGATTGTGGTATGTGTGTACAATCGTATGTGTTTAACTGTTTAGTTGCCGTAAATTGGAAGGAATGCATGTAGTTGTGTGTTTCTCTCTCTCTCTCTCTCTGTGTATATATCTATATATATATATATATATATTACAGCGAAGAATTTGAATTCTCAACAACAATGGTGATGTCTACTTTTTTGATCCAATAGTACAAAATTTGTCTTAAAATTATTTTTCCCTCTCGAAAATATCACCTTCTCTTCACAACTCAACCAACACACTCTCCAATGATAGACAAATCCACTAATCTACACATACCTTTTTTTTTTCTCTCTCCCTTACTTGTCTCTTATTTTCTCTCCATTCATATTAATTGTAAATTGAGTAATTAAAAAAACAAAAGAAAAGTAAATAACAATTTTGACTAGAAAAGTTGCATGATCAATGCTCGATTCTTGATACTGGAGAGTGTTTTCAGATACGGTTTATTGCTAGTATATATATCACAAAAGATATTGATATTTTTGGCTCTTGCTATTACTAGTTTAATTGGTGGAATGGTTACAACTGCCTAGTAAAATTGTCAATTGTGTTGACTAAAGAGAAAGTCTTGGTTTAAATTTTTGTTATCAAAACAAAGAAGGTTGTTGGTATAGTGAGTAAAGAAGCAGGTGTTGAAGATATAAGTAATATCATCCTTCTTCATACATATCACTGTTTGTAATGGCTCAAGGCGTCAAGGTTCAGTGGACCCTAAGGACAAGGCATGTAGCCTGCTTTGGGCCTGGAAGAATTGGGCACTTGTATAGAACATGCAAACTATACAAATTTAGTAGCCTATAAGTATCAGTCTAGTGGCTAGAGTCTTAGCCTATTCAGCAATCGAAAATACTTATTTTGGCCTAATGCAGCCACAGTCAGCATTTACAATGCATTAGCAACAAATGCCAATAGCAAGACAACACAAATTTAGACTAACACAACATGAATTCACAAAATTTAATATTAATTAGCGAGACACATCATGAATCCAGCAAAATTCAATAGCATTTCAGCAATTAGACAGAATCAACAACAACAAAACTGATGGTGTGGAGTGTGGATTATATTTTGAGAACAAGAAGTGGTCACTTCAAACTGTATTTACATTACACTTGGTAATAACAAAGCAATAATCAGCACCATCATACTTGTGTTCCACAAGAAAGGAAATTCTTTGTTTAGTGAATTTTATTTCTTTTCTCTTTGTGTCTGGAACCATATGTTTTTGAAAGTTAAGACTTAAAATCATATATTTATTAACTTATCAAACATATCATTGTTTGGTATCAAAATTTAAGCTGTGAATGGGGCTAACTTCTTGTTACTATTGTTACTAAAGCCTTCCTTTCGCTTGATGTTTGAAGGTTTGGACTTAATAAATGTTGCATTATTTATTTTTGTTGATATGAGACTTGGGCACGATACAGCATTGATATGCTAGTGTGACAATGGCAGTTTCTTAAAAAGTATGAAACAAACAAACTGAGGGGATGACAAGATAGAAGGCAAGTTTATAATGTTGATTGATTATCTAGCCGAACAGTCTTAAAATGAAAGAAGACTCTTAACATAGGTAATTTATCGGAGGATAATATTGTTTCATTGTTTCTACACTTTATTCTCGTATACTAAATTCCTCTCATTTATTGTTGAATGTTGTGCATAAGTGTTGACATTGTGTTGACAATTGTTGAAAGTTGTTTTCATATTATGATGTATTAGGAAGTGTTTGTTTTATTTGTAGGAGAATCCAACATGTCTTGGTGTCTACTGGGTGTCTTCCATTGCACTTTGACTGTGAGCTTGATTTTTTAGGAGCTAATGGATTCTGAGTACGCCTGACATGTGATTTGATTTGCTCTTTCCCGTAGGCAAAGTGATGTGAAGGGTGTGGGAAGCTTTTTAGCCACGAAAGATAACTCACACGACTTGTTCCCTTTACATATCAGGCTTTCATTTCTGTGGGAAACAGATTCATTGGTCGTAAAGATTAACCAAAAGGTTTGTTTACCTCCATGCGCCATGCCTGCTTTAAGTGAATTTCGTGGACTGTAGCTGACCCACTGTTGTGGTTGTATTTGAGCCATTTGTTTATTAGAAATAGAGAAGAAAATGCTTTCAAGGAACTTGCGTTTTCTAGTTGTGACTTGTGGTGGTTATCTATGATTTTTTACTGGAATTGAAATCGCAATACAAAGTGTTAAAGGAGGAAGAAAAATGGGTGGGCTTGGAAATTCTTCGACTTAAAATCGAAATGGGTTTGACTTATAGGACATATTGCTTTGAAGTGGATGTATTTAACAATGTAACGGGTATACTTAAAATTGAAATCAGTTTATGTAAGTAACATATACCAATCAGTTTGGTGAATTCTCTGTGTAACATATTCCTTTGAAGTGGATGTGCTTGTAGAATTTGACAGATAAAAAAGGGGGGGGGGGGGAACATAGTTGTGAGAAAAGTAATCAATATGTGAATCACGTCAGTTTTGGAATTGCTCTAGTATTCAATTACGGGCTTCCTTTTCTACTCTCTCACTGGGAACGTTGATCAACTTGAGACTTGTTGCTAGACTTTGGTTTATATTTGTAATTGCGTAGAAAGGGCAGCAATTTGGTCATTAAAATTTTTTATTTTTTCACATGCTAATAGAGCTTTTCAGGAGTGCACTTTGGTCAATTTGGACAGACATCCTAACAGTTTACTTAGACCAAAACTCCAAGGGGGTTATGTGTAGGTTTGTGAAATAGTGAGGTAATGTGTTGCTGGGCAAACACACGAGATTGAGATTATCCACAAAGGAGTCAGGGAAAGCTAGACTAGGCGGACCTGGCTACCCATCTATATAATATAACAGGAGTGTATTTCAATTTTGTCCTAATCATATTTTTCCCCTCAAAATTATCATTAATCACTTACCTCACCCATCGTCCTTTTGTCAGAATCAGACGTTAAATCGTATCACTTATTTCTATCATATGTTTAATCATTTATATATTTCTTCCTTATCACATTACTCATGTTTATCATATATTTAATCATTTAATATTTGATTAATTTGTAGTTAATATATTTTGAAAGAAATTAATATAATAGAATTGATTTTTTGGACGCTCAAATTTTATATTTTATTGTGCCTTCAGGCACGAGTTATGACTAGTTTTCAATATTTCAGTTGTGCAGACGGTGTTGTTACCCTTGGATAATTTCCACTGTGGCACATGGCCCAGGTTTTAAGCAGACAATTTCTTCTTATCTGTCTAAGGAATAAATTGATAGTATCTATTTGATAGAGCTTGTTTGCCATTAATTTTTATGACATGATTATTGGATATGTTGGAGTACCCTCTTTTATCCTAGTAACGACATATATTTCAGGACAATGAAGTCGGAGCTTTCAACCAAGGTTGCAACATATTTTGCATTGAATCTGGCTTGGTGAGCTAAATAATTGTCCACTAACAATTTATTGGAAGTGATCCTGTATTTTGGGCAAGGTTGATGACTTACTCAAATTTTTGACAGTTACGTATTTGGGATTTCTCAGGGCAGACAAGCCAGTATTTCACCAAAGAAAGGAAGTTACCTGACATTTCAGGCAGACAAGATGAGGAGGTGATGTGTTTGATTGTTCTTTCCGGCTTTATTTTCTATTCAGTTCTTGTCATTTATTGACTAGAAAATCAAATACTGACATTTGACAAGTCTAGATAAATATGAGAGCACGTGAGGCGTGGAAGACAAACATCCTTAAGAGCTAATGTTGTATGACTGCTACTACCCTGGAGTGGCATGACTCTTAATGCACTATACTAAGGCACTAGCCTCCTATAGTGATTTCTGATTCATAGTGAAGCACCTTGTGAGTAGCATGACGTGCTTCTTTCCTATTAACTTGTCCTGCCTTAAAAATAACATTGTTTGTGGGGCTGTAGTTTTAACACTCCTCAGGGTCTGGATATTTCTTTTCTGGTTTAAGAACTAATTCCCATTCATGACTTCTTTTTTTTCTGTACTCTTGTGAGATTTGGATGATGAAATGAGGATGTCTTTGTTATTAGTTCTAATATAAAATATGTGTATGCATGATGGTCGTTATTCTTTTTGGTTTGCTTTAAAGAAGTCAATTTATGTGTCTTGACTTATGGTATGAATTCAGTTAGAGAATTGCATATGTTTTAATTCTAAGATTTGTCACAAGTGTTGGCGGCTGTCCTTGAAACCACAAGTATACTTGTATTTATATGTGTGTGTATATATGTGTGTATATGTATGCAATGCACCACACATGTTGCATGTGAAAGAAGTTTTTATTTTATTTACTATATGTTATTTTTATTTTAATATTCGAAATTTATAATATGTATATATAAATATAGATGATAATGAAGGGATTTATGTCTTTTAAGTCATTAAATGGCATTGGTGTTATTGACTGATATTTATAAATATGAAATGATATTAAGGTTATTTTGGTCGACAAACTTTTTTAAAATAGTAGATATTTACTTTTAGTATAGATATAGAAGTGTGTGTGTACAGAGAGAGAGAGAGAGAGTTAATGTGTATATGTAGTTTATAATTAATTTATATAAAATTCTTGAACGAACTGGTAAAATACACTTCCCGGTTACTTTTTTTAAGTGATGATCAATGACAAGGGATACCGATTTAGTTTTAGATAATGCAGGAGTGTCTTATGACAATCTTCAAGTGAAGTTACAGAGAATGCATGAGTGTCTTATGGCAGTCTACAAAGGGTGTGGATGATATGTTCCCTTTGATGTTAAAGATTAGTTATCCTTTAAATGCCTAAATAATGAAGTTTATATCTATTTTTATCATGAACAAGAGAAATTTTACCAAAAATAAAATAAGGTTTAGTGCAAGAAGGATAAATAATCGTTCACATCAGGAAAAGAAAATAAAGAGGGGAGAAATACAAAAGAAAGTACAAAAGTAACCAAGGTCAATTAACTCACAAACAACTCTCCGATCAATCTTAATTAGACATAAAAGAATATCCTTGAACTCCAGGGAAACCAATGCCCGAAAGGATGTCAAAAAGCTATTGTGTTATACAACATATATTCTCTATTGCAATATAAAATTACTTCACTTGTATGGATATCACTTATCTTCAGTTATACAATATAAATCATCAAGATTAAATCTTATCATATGATTGTGTATATATGTATGTATGTCTCTTTCTGTATTTGTATCCTTTTTTCAAGTTTTGTTGGACGATCAAATTGTGTCGTACCCATGGCTTGTAATTGTATCCAACACATAGGTTTTTATCATTTGTGTTCATTTTGGTGGCCAAAGATGGGTGGCCATTTTTCAGAAGTTAGTGGCCGAAATGTGTGGCTATTTCAATTTTTGAATTTAACTTGGGTAGTAATGGAGTTCAGCACACACCTGTTTCTACCTAACATTTATTACTTGGCATAAGCTGCCTGTTTTTATTAATTCACAACCTTGCTCAGATTTCATTGAGGGCTGTGTGAGGTTCAGTTGAGCTTGTGTTTTCTTTTCTTTCCTTTTTTTTGAATTTTCTGAAACATGTATACCTTATTAAGATATTTTCAGCTTGAAATTTTCTGTGGACCCCTCATTGTCACCACCCATCTTGACATGGTCCAGGCTGTCACTTTTCACTATCTGGTGTTGGTAGAACTGAAGTTTAAACCTTGTCTGGTGTGACTATTAGGTCAGAGTATTACTCTAGAATATTTGGGAATTGATTGTATTATCAAATGAGCATGTAAAGTGTGATTCATTGAGTATTGTAAATTAGGGGATGCGCAAGCTGCTGATTGTCATGATATGATTTTTATGAGTACATTCTTCATCTAAAGTATTCAGCTATTTAATTGGGTTTTATATTCGTTTTTGCCTTCATCCAATACAGATTTCATTGGAATTGCAAGTCTTTGGGCTTTCATGCTCTATGAAGGGTACAGAAAGGAATGATGAGAGGATAACAGAGTTGTCTAAATTTGAAGGTTCCTTTTCCAGTCGTTTGCTTAAGATGAATGGGAGCAATAGCATAGTTAACTCACATTTTGGAGGTAGCCAATCACTACCTTGTGGTGGTAGCTACAAGATAGCACGTGTTTTGGGCCTAACTGGATTGTATAATCTTGGGAATACTTGTTTCATGAACAGCGCAATCCAGTGTTTGGTGCATACGCCAACACTTGTCGATTATTTCCTTGGAGACTTCAGAATAGATCTAAATTTTGGAAATCCTTTGGGTATGAATGTAAGTATATTGGCAAACGACAGTTCTACATTTCTGTTCCTAGAAGATGGTATTTTATTAATATTTTATTCTTTATACATGGGATCTCTCAAAGAGTTTCTGTCTATCTGTCTCTAAATTGGACTTCTTGCACAGGGCAAGCTTGCGTTAGCATTTGGCGACTTGTTGAGGAAGCTATGGGCTCCAGGAGCAACACCTGTGGACCCAGGAATGTTCAAGTCGACACTTGCTGGTTTTGCTCCTCAGTTCAGCGGCTACAACCAGCATGATTCCCAAGTTAGTCAAGTTTTATTTGTTTTGAGAATTGATGGTGCTTAAATTTCTATGCTATGGTGAGAAATATATATACTGATATTTTGTTTATAACGCAGGAATTTCTTGCTTTTTTGCTGGATGGACTCCATGAAGATCTGAATCGTGTCAAATGCAAGCCTTATATAGCAGTGAAGGATGCAGAAGATCGTCCAGATGAAGAAGTAGCTGATGAACACTGGAGAAACCATTTAACTCGTAATGACTCCATCATAGTTGATGCATGCCAAGTGAGTGCTGTTATTTAACGCGATCTCGTCTACTACAGTCAACCATTTTTTACCCTTAATCATGCACGCTACTGCCTCCTTAATGTCCCAATGACCGATATTTACTTTGAATGCTTTGGTTCTATTACATGAGATGATTGCACTATTTTTGTTTTTCTTCTTGTGTTGAAACACAAACTACCCACACAGCATAGGTAAGCTTGCTTGGTCTTCTTAGCTGATTTATTTAATTTTAAATACAGGGGCAGTATCTGTCAACATTGTTTTGTCCTATGTGCAAGAAGAAGTCCATCACGTTTGATCCTTTTATGTATCTATCATTACCTCTACCTTCAATGACAATGCGAAAGATGACTTTGACAGTCTTGAGCACTGATGGGACTACTTTGCCCTCTCCTGTCACCATTACTGTTCCCAACTTTGGAAGGTGCAAGGATCTTGTCCAGGCTTTAAGTTCTGCATGTTCTTTAGGAGATGATGAGATGCTTTTTGTGGCTGAGGTACTTTCTACATTGATGTTTTCCTAAAACAAGGTGATTCATGTAATTGCCAGTGTAAGTATTTCTCCATATGTATGTGAGGTTCGGGATTTATCCAGATCTATAAGATAGTGATGTGTTTTGAGCATCATCTTCGAATGTGATGTCATTCAGAACTAGGGTGGGTCCATTGATTCTATTCTGTTATCTGCAATCATGCATCTCTCATAAATGTGTGGGGAAGAACTTGCACGTGAGCATAGAATTGAAGCATGTGTCAGAAGCACCATTATCATTCAGATATTTTGGCTATAATGGTTTAGGATGTATAGTTAAATTGCATCCAATAAGTGAAAAGAATTTTTCAGAAGTCAAACTAAAATTTTACTGTGAACTTATATTGTTTGCAGATATACAACCACCGCATACTTCATTCTTTGGATAAGCCATCTGATTCGGTCGAGCTGATTAGAGATAATGATAGACTTGTTGCTTATCGATTTCGAAAAGACAGTGATGCATCTCCTATGGTGGTGTTCATTCATCAACGGGAGGAAAAGTAAGTGTAAGCTGATTTTTATAGTGCTCATATTATGTTATCCATTCTTTTTAGTTGATTGATTTGAAGTGATCGTTTTAACTTTAGTGCAATATGTTGTTAACTTTCCTCAGTTGATGTGGAAATAATTGGGTGATGGTTTGATCCCCATTTAGTGTTCTGACTTGGATCAGTAGCAGCAAATAACATCAGCTGTGAGATTACTCATCTGAAGGCATAACTAGCTGTTTTCTGTGATCTAGTGTAATGTTATAGTTCAGATTGTTATTTTTCGAACAAGGAAAGAATCATTCGGTCATGAGATCTCTGTAACGGAAAATCAGAGGTTATAGCATGAATAGTGAATGGCAAACCAATGCATAATTTGAATACTGACAAGAAGAGTAAAATAAAATTTGTAACTGAGGAAAACTGGGAGTTAGAGAAACATAAAAAAAAAAACTCTGACAAGCAGTCATATTGCAACAATGGCAATAACAAAGTGAAGACAAAAGCCATTTAGGAAAAAGTATCCTACTGGTGCAATAAGCGTAAAAAATCCGAAAAAAGAGTAAGAACCAAGCAATAAAGAACGCTATAGCAGAGCTTAGTATATGCAAAAAGAAGAAAAAGAAAATATGAGGGAAGAAATTTTGCCTGACGAGAAGGAGGTCATGTGATGGAGCTTAGCATACAGAAGAAACAAGGAAAAAATACCATGCTGGGAAAGGGAAACGAGACGTCTTTCATTTTTTTTTTGTTGGGGGGGGGGGATTATATTATGATATCTTTTTTTGGCTTCTTGGTTGTTGAATGTGATATTAAATTTTTTTCCTTGCATCTTTTTTGTGAGGCTGATATTTTTTGGTGGTAGCAATTAATAGTATTCTCTTATTGGTCAGGTCTTTCAATCGTGCAACTCCATCTTTAAAGAAGTTTGGCATTCCTCTTGTAGCAAGGATGTCTGATTTTTCAAAAGGATCTGAGATACGTAAACAGTTCCTAAAATTGATCAATGCCTTTTTAACGCCAGTGGATAATTCCACGAATAATAATGATGGTGTTCTGAACACTTCTGATGAAGATACTGAGATGGAGGATGTGATAAAGACTCCAGTATTGGGTGGAGACACAAATGCGGACAATGAATCAGAGGATGTCTCACACCTGGATGATGACTTCCAGTTTTACTTGGAAGGTGAGGGATTTTTATCAAAACGTTCCAAAATAGAGATGGATCAGCCAGTACCAGTTTCTGTGTTGTCCAGGACTATAAATGTGCTTGTTACTTGGCCCGATAATATGATGGAACTGTATGATACTTCCCTTTTGAGCTCATTGCCCGAGATCTGCAAATCTGCGTTGCTTGCAGAGAAGCCTCAAGAGTCCGTTAATCTATATAAATGTCTTGAAGCCTTCTTGAAGGAAGAACCTTTAGGACCTGAAGACATGTGGTGTGTACCCTTACATTACTGCACGCTAGTTTTTCGATTTTTGTGTACCACTTTGTCTTATTAGCTTTCTTCTCTCGATATAACTTTGACGGTATAAAAATGGTGACCTTTTGGTCATTTAGCAGCTCAGTTTGGTTTTGTTCATGTAGTGTTTTTGATTGCCTCCATATTTGGTGAGTTAAGTGGGAGAGTATGGTAAACGTTGTAGCGATTTTAGGTTATCTTAGCTATTTATGTGTATAAGTTTGTCTTACCTGCCTTTAACAGTGGCCATACTCTCGTCTTTCTACTAATCCCGATATTTTAATCATATATGATTGTAGGTACTGCCCCAATTGCAAGAGGCACCGGCAAGCCAGTAAAACGTTAGATCTTTGGAGATTGCCAGAAATTCTGATTATTCATTTAAAGAGGTTCTCATACAACCGGTATTTTAAGAACAAGCTTGAGACATATGTGGACTTCCCTATTAATGACTTTGATCTCTCAGCTTATGTAGTTCCCAAGAATAGCCAGGTTTCCCATCATTACATGTTATATGCAGTAAGTAATCACTCTGGTGTCTTGGGTGGTGGTCACTATACTGCATTTGTCCAAGTAAGTGGTGCTTCTGCTTAAAAGTTCTTCCTCCGATTGCTTTTGGCCTATTCATGATTTCCTTTGCCATCTTGGTGATGAAATGTTTGGAACTAGTATTATTTGGATGCCACCATTCCATTTTTTAAGTAAGAGACTTGGTGAAAAGCCAATAGCATTGTTGCAAGGTCTTTGACAACTAGTATCAGCTGCCTGTGTTGGGATAAACAATAAATTTGGATGGCAGAGCATGCAAAGAGACATGTTTTGTGATGAGGCATATGCCATTTAGATAGATCAATCGACCTCTACCCTGCCCTCATCTCCTTTAAACTTATCTAATGCAGAAAAATAATTTTGTATATAAATCTGGTATTTATTTTGGAGGCTTCAAGATTCATGAAACTGACAAGCATCACTAATATCATTGTAGATGTATGATCTTGTATAACAGTGTCCCTAAATGACTATCAATTAATGCTGGATTTTGTGAATATTGGTAGTAACTCTATGTTATTTCGAGACTTTGCTGTGAAAGGCACTAGTAGAATGCTATGTGAACCCTGGAAGTGGCTATCACACTGTTATGAGTCCAAGTTGTATGTGACTTTCAAGGACTTGATTTCGACCTAGATTGAAGAAATGTATCTGATGTATTGTGTGATTTACGTATATCTCTTAAACTGAAATGTAATTTCTATAAAATAGCAATTAGATTAGCAAATGGTACACTTAATATTGGGCAATTCACAATCATCTTCAGAAACTAAGTGTGGTTTAAACCGCTGATTTTAAGATGGATGTATGTTAAAACAAGAAAGTGGAAAATTAAATATGAGTTTGCTTGCAAAACTGTAAAAGTAGCATCCTTAAGAAATTAATTAGTAGAAAATTGATTTAGATGGTTGAGTCATATTTATAGAAGACTTGGTATTACACCAGTGAGGAGAAGCGATGTGATGCTAATAGATGGCTATGCAAAAAGTAGAGGTAGACCAATATCTACTTGATGCAGTAGAATAGAGAAAAAGGATTCATGTAGTTGATCATAAATAGTTGGTACAAGGCCTTGTTGAGTTGAGTACATAAAATAATAGCTAGAAGTGCATTGTTTTTAGATTCGTATGCATACGGATCCTAAATTTACTTTGTATGCTGCTAAAATGTATTTAGCATCTGGATGAACTGTGTTTGTCCGGATCCTTAAATCTGAGCTTCTTTGATTATGTTCACATTAATGATTTGATTGAATGTAGCTGTTTTTTGAGGGGGTGGTGATTGTATTTTTCAGTTGATTATATTTTGGCCATTTTAAGTTTCTCACTGCAGTTCAGCCAACTCTATACCAATCAATGGAAGAGAAATGATAGACAGAAAAGAAAAAAAGAAGGGGGGGGGGATTTTTAATCGCATTTTGGATCATCTCCCTCCTTTGTAACGCTACCTATGCCTGTGTCATGTATATGTATTACATCTTAAGTGATACCCCATTTGTTTTTATATGTCTACTTTGGTTCATGGATTGCAATGTCGTAACTGTCCATGTTACTCTGCAGCATGGGCCTAATCGGTGGTATAACTTCGACGACAGCCGTGTTTCCTCCATTAGTGAGGAACAGATAAAAACATCAGCTGCCTATGTTCTTTTTTACAAGAGAGTGTGAGATGTATGATACAACATTACTGTGTTGTTACAAGAAATGGAAGGCTGAATGAAGCAAGCATTTCCTTTTCTTCAAAGCATTTACTGGAATTTTCTGTCGCGGGTTGAGAATTTGAAGAAACCCATTGTTGTGGTCATAGGGTTGGTTTTATACATGTACAGATGTCAATACAAGTGAGATGTCGAGGAGCCATTATTCTTACCAAAGAGGGTGCCTCTTTATTACCCGTACATGATTCTACTCAATACAAAGGATCAGATCTTGTTGTAGTGGTTTATAGGTTATGACTATTTCTGATGTAGTGATGCGTTCAACTACCTCTAACGTAGTGAATATACGAGGAATATGTTTCTGATATGTAAAGCTTGGTTGGTTTTGGTGATGATGCTTGAACATATCACATATTTTTGTTTTCTGTTGGAATGGAGAAAGGCCGGCTCTTCACAGCTGTCTCAAGGGATCATTCTGTTGAAGCAAGCTAGAATCTCGTCTTGCCATGCCTTTCTATGTGGTGCCACCGGAGATGAGCATTGGGTGCATCCCCTTTCAGGCTGGTTGCTTATGTAATGGTGCAATTTGTGACTAGTAAGCTTGTTTTTTCGCTGCTTTCCTTACTTTCAGGAAGAGCTTGCTTTGTGACTGCAAACTAGTAAGTCCAATTAGTGATATAACCAGAATCGCCTCGTCCAGATTGAGAATGAACGATTCATGGTGAAAATAATAGCTGGTGTAGTGATATGATAGATGCAGAGGAACACATGGAGTTTTGCACAAGCAAGTGCTACATCATGGAGATTATGTAATGCAGATACCGGACTGTCAGACTTGGGCCGTTTTGAGAAAAGATGTGCTTGCCAAATTCTTTATGAAATATTGTTTAGCAAATGAATATGGATGGTTGAATTAGTAGGTCGTATTAGAAAAAGTTAATGAGATTTACTAACCCAAAATTTTATATTGATTTGTTAAATAAAACTTGGTAATAGTTTTAAAAAAGAGAAGGGATGTTTTGGTTTTTCACGTGGAGTGGGTACCTTGTTAAGAGAAATGGGATTGAAAACCCTCGAGGTTGGTTTGGTTATCGTATTGTTAAAGAATAAATTGTATTAGATAATATATGCTAATTTTGTGTAAACAGATAAAATATAAGATTAATTATGAGATAAAAATATTATACATTGTCATTCAGTGTTTGGTAAAATATTTTATTAAAAGTGGGATAACATAGTACTAATTATATATTGAATAAAACACTATCAATTTAGTCTAGTTATTTATATTTTTGTTTATTTGATGGTAAAATAATAAATTTATAACTTAATACAATTAAATGGATTATACTACCACATTTTCAAGTAATAATTATAATCGGCTCAATAATATGAGATAAAACCTATTATTCTTATACGTATTTAAAATAAGCTTATATATAATACATAATATTTTTGACAATCAAATGCATTATAAGAATAAATCAATTCACATCAAACCAAACTAAGTTTTATTTCTCAATTTTTTTGGGTCAATTATATGACTTCGTCTTTGACATTAAAAAAAAATGAGTTAAACGCTTATTTAAGTTAAAAAATACATTATAAGAATATGATAGAAAAAATTAATGTTATAAGTATGTAATCTATCCATTAATACTGCAACCAGAAAAAGCTTTGCATTTTACAGAGCAAGTTCAGTCCATTGTACACAGCAATTCAGGCTCTTTCTTAGTGTTGGATTAGTGGGTTCGGATTTGATCTTCACGGGTCGTTAGGCTCATTTAATAAAACAAAAAGGGTTTTTCACACTTTATACCCTAAAAGATTTTACGTTTTTTATTTTATATTTTTAAAAATTAAAATTTTCATATTATACCTTTGATATTTAAAATATATTGTAATGTGATCTTCTATTAATTTTTGTTATTTTTTTTATCAAAAATAACCTATTGACATTGATAGAAAAACTAATAAAAAATTAACAAAAGAGTCACATTGTAACATTTTTAATATATTAAGGACATAATATAATAAATTTAATATTTGAAAATATAAAGTGAGAAATTAAAATCTTTCAAGGTCAAAGTGTAAATCGCCCAAACAAACAAGAAGTTAAAGTAATTTAATATCCGGGTCGGGCGGATGCGTATCTTCTCTCTCAGTCTCAGAACAGAGCTACTTCCTATCTTTCAATCAGATAGCAAAGATTTTTACTACTCTGTAGGAAGAAGAAAGAAGAAAGAAAGCTCACAAGTCCGGCGGAACTCTGTTTCTTCCGTTCAGGTACCAATTTCCGGCCGCAAGAGAGTCACCACATCATCCAGTACAGGTAAAAAGCCAAGTGTTTTGTGTTCATATACTTAGAACAACTTCAAAAGGCTAACTAAAACCCTCTTTTTAGCTATTTTAGATAACTTCTCCAGCTCCAGACTAGCTATTACCGTATCTATTTCCCATAACCCCTTTTCACTCGCTCCATCTAGCTAGCCAGTCTCTCCCTCGCTCCATCCTCCTCCTCTTCGAGTCTCAGACTCTCGCCTCTCTCTGCCTCTCCATCGATTGAACTCGAAGCCACAGGCCAGTGAAGCCACAAGCACCCTGAAATCTTATACTGCCGCCTCCAGACCTAAATCCAAATCAATCGCAAGACCTAAATCCCAAATCAATCGATCAAACTCGAAGCCTTCGGACAGAGCATCCTCTTTCTCTCAAACCATCGATCGAAGTCGAAGCCTTCAGAGCTGCTTCAGAGTCGAAGCCACAAGCCACAAGCCCCACCGCCATAGCACCATCCTGGTATGCAGTCTCTCTCTCATTCTCTCTCTGTCTACCAGTTGCTACCGGTCCACAGCCACTCACACCCAAATCAGCAACCCCATCCATCGCCCACCGCATATACGCATAGCCACCACCACACACGACACAACCACTGCCCCCGCCGCCTCCATCCCTTTTGTATGTATGATTTCAAAGTGTTTGTTGGTTTGCTTCTGGGAAAAAAAAATACAAGCTCAATTTGTAACTTTGACAGACATAGCCTATGAGTTTTCAATTCTGGGTGGTTTTAAGAATTGAGTTTTTGATTTTGCTATCAAGAAAATATGTGAATTTCCTTTTTAAAAAATTATTCTTCTGTCAGTGCTAACCCATCTGATGGATTCCAATAATTTTAGGGTATATGATGAAATGGGTTTTTGATCTAGCAGTAATTTGACATTCAATTGTTGGGTTATATGAGTTGTTCATACTTTTTATATTGATGGGTTCATTTCTGTTTTTGTATAAGTTTTTGGTAGATTGTCTATCATTGCTGCATTTGAGGCATATTACATAGTATTTTAGATTTTAATAATTAATAGTTATTTAAAGTTAGTTGAAGTAGTTGGTTAAAATAGATAGCGTTGGTGGAGTGAATTTAAAAAAGTGGTTAGCTAAAGTAGATAAGATAATATTTAAATATATTTTGAGTTTTTAGATAGAATTGTTGGAGTTGCTCCAGCTTATTATAAGTTGATCTTTACATTGATTTGTGGCTTTTATCATAACCATACAAATGTATTTATCCTAGAGTCGAAATGGGTTTTAGTTAATCGAATCGGAGATCGAATTGCATGCAAACCCTTGTCTGAATGGGATGTTGATTGTTAGTTATTTACCTTTTTTTGTTTTTTGCTTTTTTTTTTTTTTTTGGGGGGGGGGGGGGAGGGGGAGTGAATTCATCTATGGATTTCATAGGTATCTGATTTGGTTGTTATTCAAGGAAGTATCTAATTACATGGACTGATAGCTTTGTTCTTCATAAATTGTGCTTATTGATTATTTCCTCTCCTTTTTCGATTGATTTATGGGCATTTTAGCTCCTTAATAAATGTGTTGTGCATGAATACAATCTCCTAAGAAGTTGTTAACAGATTAAAAGCTGTTCCTTTACTCCTAAAAGGGATCTTAGGCTTTTGGATTCTCAAACCCTTTCCTTTTTCTAGGTGGCTATGTTACTTCCTTAATCATGATGACTTAAAACGTTATGTAATACAGCTTGTATATACAATGTGATACAGTTGTTCTACCCTCCTTTTCGGCTAGTGCAAACCAGAAGTAGCTCATAAGCATGGATGGACCTATGCAAGGGCCCCAAAGGAGCCGTGGCGCCCCCTCAACTTTTTGAAGAAATATAGAGAGGATGAAAGTGTTAAAAAATTAGGTAGTCACAGATTCAAGTTTCAGGAGTGATGAAGAATATAGTGCGTAAAATTTTATATTGTCTTTGTGACTCTTATTGGGTTAAATGCATGCTGATCACTTTTTTTTTTTTGAATTTGGTGAAATCGAACATAAATTGATCTATAATTGTTGGCTTACTTGATGAATTGGTGTTGAAATTGTGATGATGAAATTGAATTAAAATGTTGTCGTACTCGAGTGATTATATGATAGAATTATACTAAAATTATAAATTGTTTGATGAATTGATCATAGTTTTTTTATATCAAACTGCACACATCGGAATTAATTTTTTAGATTTTTTTAGAAATAGACAACATTCAAATATAGCGTGCAAAAATTAAGTTTGATATGTTATACACACCTAAGAAAATTGACATTGAGGAGTCCTTGAATGATCTCATGAAATAAATTCTTAACTCCATCATCATTTGGCCCCCATTAACATCAAAACCTGGTTCCCTCCTTGCTCATAAAGGAGAGGTTATGAACTGATTTCGGATGCACATGCAATCTATGGGAACATTGGTGGATCTTTGTGTCACGTTTGAATTTTAACTATTTCTTGTCCTGTAAATTATATTTCCTTGTTCCACCATGTTAGAAGTGCATTTCTTTGTTCAGATTTTCATAACAAATTGAAGTATCTGTTCCCTCTTATCTTGCTTTTGGACCTATGAAGACATATAGCTGAGGCAGAAGTTTATAGCTGCCTAACATCCGTAAGGGTGCTTTCTTCTAGTTGTAGAGACCGCTATAATTTTGTGAGAGCCTAAAAGATGTGTGATTGTTGTGAAGTTGTAGGTCCATTATTGCATTCCATGACGCTGCACTGTCTTTTTGATGTCTATAGTGTTGTAGCCTTCTAAATCATACTTAGCCAAAGGATCATTGGGGTTCTAGCTGTTCCATGATGCACTTCAATGGGAGACTAACTTTTCATGCCTTCCTTTCCTACAGTGTGATCCTTTCACATTAAATTGTTGAAGCTTGACCTAAAGTGTAAAACCTAAGAAAAAAAAAATATTAAAACCCTAATTAAAGGGGTAAAATAGTAATTAATTGTTAAAGTACTGGTCAAAAACGTGAATTTTTATATAATTTAGATGACGAAACGGACCTCACCGTTGGATTCGTCTCGCGAAATCTAGCTATTCGGTAAATTTTTGTAAAATTTTGAGACAATTGAATTTTTCATGTGTTACAAAGCGATCAGGTGTTGCGCGACTAAAATAATTGTGATCAGATTTTATTCATGGGACTTGAAAAATAATTTAAAATTAGTTTAATAAAAATATACTAAATTTAATACGATACGAGATTTAATTGGCTCGAAATAAAATTAGACCCGTTAAAAAGAAGACGTGTGAGCCGATGTGGGCCACACATTTAGACTATATAAAGTTGTAGATTTTTTTGTCTTCCACTTTGTTTTCTTCTCCAGTAGCTGGCCGAGAGAGTGAGAAAGAGAAGTGATTTTTTTATTTTTTCTCTTTTTCCTTCCTTCTTAGATTTATGAAGATTAAACAGTTTAATTTCTTCGAACTAAGAATTAAAGTTGTTCTATTCAACGAGAGTTACACAATCATACTAAAGATCGTAATTTTCTCCAAAAAAAATATTAAAGGCGAAAATTTGGGACTAAGGCTTGGGAAGCTAAATTCGGACTTTCCTTAAAGTTCTACTACATGAGCTCACGCTACGAGAGGTAGGGTTTCCTTATTTAGATGTAATTTTAACCTAAAATATGACATATGAAATGGGCAGGTTAAGTGTGTATATTACATGTTGGGTCTTGACTAATGTAACTAATAGATCAAATATAGGATTTATAATTAACCTTATAATTAGTAAAATTCTATTATAATTAACTTGGTGTAAGTTAATATTAGTGGTTTAAACATGTTAATTGTACATTAGCATGACTTGATGTTTTAATGGCATATCAAGTTTAATAAAATTATTAACTTGTTATGTGATTATGAAATAATATGTATGTTAAATGATTATTTAGCATATGATTATTGTGGTGGACTTGTGTTTATATTTATAAAATTAATAAACATGTTGTCCTGTTGGAAGTTATAAACATGCTAGTTGTGTAAATTGATGTGCTTTCTAGGTGTTTGTTTAAATGTCTAGGTGAATATAAGTATGTTTATTGAGTTGATTATCTTACATAACATGCTTGGGATAGTGTTGAAAATATCATTATATTGCATTTATTATATAATGGACATTATAAATTTTACCAAAGGCAATTACACAGTATATTATATTATGTATGAATTTCACTACATTCATGGGCATTGACTTGGGTGGAAGTGTGTGCATAGTATAAAATCAATCACCACATAGGTGGTTGATCATAGGCTCGGGAAAGTCGCATCAAGATCCAATTGAGTCGCACGAAAAATTAAATAGATAAATGTGTTGATGTATACACCCTCGGGTGTAAGACCTACTTACTTAGTTTATACATTTTCTGGTAGTGCAATTCCAAAAAGTGTAACGATGAAAACAGAGCTATAGGTAGGATGTCTTGAAAATTCGTTGATGATGTGGTGTTTAATTGGTGTAATATTATAAATTATCTCCTCACAAAGACACAAGAAAATGAATGAATTAGTCATTGAGTGTACATAACACCAATGACAGGGGACTTGGAATGTCCGGATACATACGCATGGGTATTGCAGGTGTTATAGGAGTCCAGGATGGGGCTTGGTGTTGGTTTTACTTGCGTGAGTCTCATCTCATGAAATGACATGATTTATGACATTTGTTCATAATAGATATATTTGAATAAATACACGAAATGATTGTTGCATGTGACATTTTATATACATTTGGGTTGAGAGCAATTCTCTATAGGAGTTATCCTATTGAGTATTGACTCACCCTTTATAAGAACAATTTTCAAGTACACCACTGTCTTTCACCGAAGGCTCTCTTACTGGTCCGCTTTGACGACAAAGTCGGACTGTGGCTCTTATTTTGACGTCGTAGTCCCTTGTTTATGTTTACTTTTTGCCTTGTATAGTTTTTGTAACAAAAATTGGTTTATATTTAAAAAGATGTATGTGAGATTCGTTTGAGACACTTATTCTTTTATGAATGAATGTACGTAGTGATGATGATTATGGTAGTATCCAATACTATGTAATTGAGTATGGATGAATGGACTCAATGTGGTCAATGTTATATGATTGCACAGGTTGCGTTTTGGGTAAAACTTCATTTACAAAGGAGATTCTGTCCAAATTTTGTTGAATTATGGATCCCGGTAAATGGGGCATAACAGCATGGTATTGAATTACACGTTATCCAGGGGGTATCGAATTACGGACACCCGGATTTGAGGTGTCACAGCTTTATATCAGAGCCTAGGTTTTTGATATATCTAGGGCTTGCGAGGCATGGGTCTAGGTCATTGCATTCATTGTGCATTGCATGTTAAATGTATTAAATGTTACGTGCTATGTGTTATGAGATTATATGCATGATTAAGTGTATATAGGAATGAGACACTAAGGTTAGAAAACATAACCTTAGAGTCGAAAATGGAAATGATGGGAAAGTCTATTGTTTGGGCATCTACCGGTAGGTGGCGTACCTCCTACCAGTAGGACAAAAATAATATATATATTCTACGATTTTAACTTTTGATCCCTAATTTTGGGGTACTAAGTTAGTAGTCTATTATTATCTTATGTGTGTATAGATGGCAACTAGAGGAAGGGGACGTCAGGGTGGACGGAACAACCAAACCACAACCACCGACTTTTGATCAACAGGCCTTTATAGAGGCTATGGGCACGATGGCTACCACCTTTTTGCAAGCCAGTGCCAAGGAGGCTCGAACAACCTTCAGAAATTTAAGTCTCATAACCCACCAACTTTTATGGGAGGAGGAGGGGATTCGATGTTAGCTGACTATTGGTTCTAACAGGTAGACAAAATTTTAGAGGCAATTAAGATTGCATCCGACGCCACCAAAATATGGTTGGTCACTTTCTAGCTTGAGGGAGAAACCCATCAATGGTAGACATGGGCAAAGTCGATAGACATTGGGACGATGACATGAGAAGAGTTCAAAGAACTCTTCATGAAGCAGTATTTCCCATCGGCTGTTCGGGAAGTTAAAGCCTAGGAATTCCTAAACTTGAAGCAAGGAGCAGTGACTGTCATGCAGTATGTGGCCAAGTTCACAGAGTTGGCACGTTTTGCGAATGACTACGTGGCCACAGGTTTGGCCAAGGTGCGGAGGTTTGAGAATGACCTAAAGCTATCCATCTGTGGAAAGATTGTTAGTCATAGGTTACACGACCTTGACAAGATGGTCAGGATAGCCATGGCTATCGAAAGAGAGGTTGAAGACGCCAAGAGTATCCAGAAAGCCAGATCAAAGGACAGGAAGAAGGAGGGGCAATCCTCTACTATTAGTTCGGGTAAGAGACACAGGATTTCTACTCCACAGGGATAGGGCCAAGGCCAAGACCATTGTCAATTTTTCCAAGGCGGGAAGAACTCTAGGGGCACACCATAGGGAGGCCCACAGACATGTTTCTATTGCCACCAATCAGGCCACTTGAAGAGAGAGTGTCCTCAAAGGCAGGGATTCTAGAGATATGGGGCATCTCAATCCCAGTCATCAGTGAAACATCCACAGACCTACTTCATTCCTCTCTATCCCATCATGGGGCAAGAAAATCAGTTCCAATTTCAGGGTACGGCACAGGCCCCTACCACTGCACAAGCAGAAACTCCGCAATCAGGCCAGATGGGTCGGGGCGTGGGCCGAGGTCAGGGACAGGACTTTAAGGCAGGGACCTCAAGGACTCTGGGGCGAGTTTTCGCCATCACACCATAGACTTTACCGGTAGATCAGTCACCACAGACTTTACCGGTAGATCAGTCAGTAATTCAAGGTATATTTCTTTTCTCTAGATTATGGACTAGAGTATTATTTGATTATAGTGAATTATATTCTTTTATTGCTACATCATGCCTATGAGACTTGGGCTTAGAGATCGAGACTCTGAAGGAGCCCATGTATGTGAGTTCACCCCTAGGAGACAGAGTTTGTATTGACAAGATATGTCGGGATTGTGAGTTGGAGATCGAAGGGACCCAGCTCACCGTTGACCTTAGGGTCATCGAGATGACAGAGTTCGATGTCATACTCGGGATGTATTAGTTGGCGGCACATATGATCGTTATTGATTGTGAACGCAAGAGGGTTACAGCCTACACTTCAGGCGGGGTTTGTTTCAAGTTTCAGGGGAAGAAGCACAATGCTTTACCCCAAGCCGTTTATGACTCCTGATCGCATGGACAGTTGATAGGTTAGCTTTGTTAGCCTTACACTAGAGGACGAGGCGAGACACAAGTTGGGTCTGCCTCGAGTCGTGTGCGACTATGCGGATGTATTCCCAGATGAGTTATCAAGATTGTCGCCACATCGGAATGTAGAATTCACTTTAGAGTTATAGTCTTGTGCATCCTCTATTTGTATGACACCGTATAGGATAGCACCGGCGGAGTTGCAGAAATTTAAAGTCCAGTTACAAGAACTTTTGGATCGAGGCTTTATTAGGCCAAGTACCTCACCTCCGGTCAGAAAAGTGTAACGGCAAAACGGAGCCGCAGATAGGATGTCCTAAAAATCTGTTGATGATGTGGTGTCCCATTGGTGTAATACCATAAATCATCTCCCCATAAAGACATAAGAAAATGAATTAATTAGTTATTGAGTATATTTAATACCACTGACCCGGGGGGGCTTGGAATGCTCGGATACATATGCATGACATTGCATGCGTTGTGAGAGCTCGGGATGGGGTTTGGTGTTGGTTTTACTTGTGTGAATCTCATCTTATAGCATGACATGATTTATGACATTTGTTCATAATAGACATATTTGAATGAATGCATGAAATGATTATTGCATGTGACATTTTATATGCATTTGAGTTGAGAGGTATTCTCTATAGGAGTTACTCTATTGAGCGTTGGCTTACCCTTTATGGGAACAGAATTTTAAAGTACATCACAGGCTTTCACCCAAGGCCATCCTACTGGTCAGCCTTGACGACAGAGCCGAACTGTGACTCTTATTTTGACGTCGTAGTCCCTTCTATATGTTTACTTTTGACCTTATCTAATTTTTGTAACAAAAACTTGTTTATATTTAAAAAGCATGTTTATAAAACTCTTTTGAAACATTCATTCTTTTGTGAATGAATGTACGTAATAATGATGATTATGGTAGTATCCGATACTATGTAATTGAGTATGAATGAATGGATTCGGTGTAGTCAATGTTGTATGTTTGCACAAGTTGTGTTTTGGGTAGAGCTTTTGTACAAAGGAGATTCTATCTGAATTTTGTTGAGTTATGAATCCCGATAAATGAGGCATAACGGCATGATATCGAATTTCACGGTATCCAGGGGTATTCCGAGGGTTTATGGGTGATCAACGGAGTAAATACAGACACCCGCATTTTGGGGCGTCACATAAAGAACTTGGAATTGCATCCTGTCTTTTGATTGCTATTGCATATCTTTGTGGTTATCATGTGTGTTATTGCAGTTCATGCATTGTTATCGATGTTCACCTTTTTAAATCCTGCATTCTGCTTTTTTTAGAAATTAATTTTGTTACATTACGCTGTTAAATGGTGCAAAGCTTTATAATCACCCACCAAATATATATTGAAAATGTTTGATGCTATTTGACATTTCAACCAACGAATTGTATTGCTAAAATAATAACTCTTACCAGGAGCAATGGCGGATTATGGAGAAATGATAAAGGGAGACAAACTTGTATTAAGGGGGCTAAAGTTCCATGGATATCATGGGGTGAAGCCAGAGGAAAGGAAGCTGGGTCAGAAGTTCTTAATAGATATTGATGCCTGGATGGATCTTCGAGCAGCTGGCAAATCTGACTGCCTGTCAGACACTGTCAGTTATACTCAAATATACCGGTGAGTATAACTGCCAACTTTCATTTATATGAAAATTGATAGAGATGGATCAATATAGTTCATCTAACAAAACCTCCAAAGTGCTGCATTGAAAAGTTAGAATTTCATTGCTCCTCAAATATTCTATACGTCATCAAAGCCTACCCTGGTTCTTGATTCTTTTTTGTTTTTATTAAAAAAAATTCACCATATGCACCAAACATATGCGTGAAAAGATGGTGGAAGCTATTACATTGCTTTTGTAAAGAGAGTTTGTATCCCAAATCGAATAAAACAATGTTATAAGGACCTAACTTTGGGACCTAATTCAATGCGGCCATTGGATTAGTTGTGAGTTCTAATGCTAGATGAAACTCACCTTTAATCCAATGGAGGCATTGGATTTGGGCCCCCGATTAGCTCCAAATAGTATTTTCCTATCAAATAATTAGGACTATATAAGGTTGGTTTATATTTAAGGGGTCTCACTACTTGTTGCCAATTAGTTTTGGGTTGGATGATCTAACATGGTATTAGAGCTAAGTCTTAGGTGGTGAGTGGACCAAGTCTCTGACACAATTGAATTTCCCAGTATGCATGTTTGTCTGTTTGAATGGTAGGCCCACAGGCAAGCCTAGGTCCCAAGGGAGGGTGAGTAGTTAGGACCATTGGTTTATATACTTGAGGGGTCTCTCCACTCATTGCCAATAGTTTTGTGTTGGATGGTATAATGACTTTGTCCTTAAATAGAAGACTATTTTGCCAGATCTCAGCTTCTATGTTACATCCATTCAGTGCCAAGCTAATGTGCTTAAACGTAGCATGCTATAGCCATTTAGAGCCTTAACAAAGCTGTTTTTAGCATTATGTCCAACAATGAAGTTCTGAACACTGGCCTTAGAAAAATAGCATTCTCACAACCAATTCAAACCTGAAATTATAATTTTATTTTTTTGTTCGTTTCTTTCTGAATTTGAATCTAGACAGAATTAGGAATATGTTGCTTGCTTGGTTTTTAAGAGCTGGACAATGAAACTAGGATTTTAATTCCCATTCTCCTTCTATGTTTTATGATTTATATAAAAAAAAATGTTTTATGATTTATAACTTTATGATGGGTTCATATGAAACATTGTGTGCAATTGAAACTACCTACCATCAATTTGAAATGATAAAAAAGATCATTACTGGGTTTGATTCCTATCAATGGATGGTGTTGGAAGGTCGATTGGGTATAGACACTCAATTTGATGATATTCAATTTGTTTTGTAAAAGTAAGGTAAATTTCAACATGAAGAGAACCCAAGCCCAGTAGATAAATAGATGAGAGATCAAAGAGAGAGTGAGTGAATGAAAGGAAGAGGGTACAACATCCCTCAGTTATGGTTTAGCTTGTTATAGGGACGATAATGACAGGGGTGACCTTTAGTTGACAGATTGGTTGATGACAGTGCCAATGGCGACAATGCCAACTTGCTGTTTTCTGGTTTTCGTAGTGGTTAGTCACACCAGAGGGAAAGAACTCAGGTTATTTTGTTTTCCTCATAAATTCCACACCCACCAAGGATTTTTTGTCTTCAAAAACATAGGGCAGTTCTAAAAATTAAGGCACGAGAGAGAATGTGTGAAGCCTTCAGGCTGCCCCAGCCTCTGTAGACTTGAAGAACATGACCTGGTTATATTTCAGTTCCATGGATTTCAGCCAAAAATCAAAATTCTAATTTCTGGTGGCTTCACGATCACCCAAATTGGAACTAAACACAGTTTAGGTTCCACCTTCTAATCCTGGGTTGGACCAATAAAATTTAATTACGAAGTCCTCACTCTCAGTTGTGAGATGTTTAGTTATAAACCCCTCGACCTAGCTTTTCTGTGCATGTTCAGATTTATCGTCAAGTAATCATGTTTTTGTATTCCACTTTCATTTCTGTTGTCTCTGCATGGATCTTCCAACATAAAATTCCTCCATCCTGATGTTTTGATCTGGTGGTTGGCAGCATTGTCAAGGATGTTGTCGAGGGACCGCCACAGAACCTTCTGGAGTCAGTGGCTGAACTCATTGCATCTACTACTCTGGCCAATCACCCGCAGATATCTACTGTTCGTGTCCAGGTTGGGAAGCCTCATGTTGCTGTTCAAGGTCCTGTTGATTACTTGGGTATCGAGATAGTCAGATACAGAAGCACTGAAGCACAAAACTGAGATTTTGTATATTACCTGTGTACCTGTTTCTCTCAATTTTTTTTCATGATTCTTTTTCAATTCACCTGTTTGCATATTCACCTGTGAGAAGTTCTCTTTCACATTATGTTAGCTTTCGGAATCTCTGATTTTTTACTTGGCATCATTTCTTGTATGCATGCATGATAATTTTAGACACGACTAAAATCCACATGAATCTGACTTTAGAAGGTAAACGGGTGAATACCATTTAGACCCATCAAATGAACGGCTCAATACAAATATGACTAAAAAACAAACGACACAAATTCATGAAACATAAAAATTTGACTGCACAAGGGTAATAATAAGTTAAGTATAAGATGAACAAATTTTGACACAATGCACATGACACAATCCATTATAATATAAACTCATTATAGCATGATGCATTGGTAGCCTTACTTGTACTTGTTGGGTTCCCTTATTTGGGCAGATTTTGTGCTATGGTTTGCACATCTGAAGTTTCTATTTCACCCTAGACACACATCACACTGGGTCTGTGGCAGTGCCAAAAGTACCGACAGTGGCAGGAACTACTTCTCAGAATAAAGAGGTGGCATTACTGACATACTCTTAACACCTGAAATATCAGCAACCCAAAAACAGGGAACTGTTTACTCATGGAGATCAATGGAAGTGGGCTTCCTCCCAAGATCTTTATATCACAGCCAACAAAATTCAGAGTCAGCGTTCCGAGAATTTTCAGCAAACTGAATCCATCTCACATCCATCTCACAAGTGATGAGGGGCATTGTACATCTGGTGGGAAATGTTAGAAGTAGCTTAAACTGAATAGGAAGCAAATGCTTGCATGAGTTGCTGCCTTTTAAAAGGATGCTAAGCAGTAGTCCTGCATATTATTCCAAAACTTCAGCTAAGTGCAAATTTCTCGACACCACTAGTTCTGGTCAACTAGCCATTTCAGACGAGTGTCAATAAGGACCTCAAAAACAGTTTCATGCTGGCTAAAAACAGAGTAGAACCCAGGAAGCCTAGTTCAACACAAGTGAAAATTGATTTCTCTGACTGCATATAACATGGCAATCTGTCTATGAAAGTTCTACATTTAAACATTTAAAAGCTCATGGAGCTGGTGCATGAGTCTGGGACAATATTACTCTCCTGCATAGGTTATGAATACAAATAAGAAGAACTCTATCGAAAACTTGCTCAGGCAGCCATAACACCTGGTACATGACTTTTCACTTTGCTTTTACGGTTCCAAACTGGAGTGGTCTCAATCAACTCATGAGGTACTAGCCGCCTTTCCCGCTTCGTGAGCTTGAGGAATTTGTTGACCCTCAGCCTAGCTATCTCAGCCTCCTCCTCAGGGGTTAACTCCCTAACGACCACAGTGAGTCGACATTCTGGTCTCACTTTCATCCCACATTTACCTTTGGCATGGTAGGATATCCTCTTCTTGAAGAGGCCCTTTCCAACAAAGGCCTCAGCTGTAAAAATGAGAACTTAAGTCAAATAGTGGTCATGTTAAAAATAATAAGAGAAAGACCAATTGCTGCAGTTACCAATAAGAAGACGATCTGGATCTAATCCATGATTATGGGTTGCATTTGCTCGGGCTGAATGTATGACCTGCACAGCAAGTTTAAATTATTTAGCATTATATTGCAGGAAATTCCTCCTTTTTCCAAGGTTAAGAACCAATGCTCAGACATGGTTCTGTAAAGACACTCTGCAGATATCAGCATTGGACACAAGTCAATTACTGTCAACTAGTTTAAACCCAATATACTAGATCCCCAGTGCACATAACCCAAGTACGACATAGCGAGTAGCGAAAAATTCTACGAAAGAATAGTATACTTCTTTGCCCCAGAATTTATGATTCTTAGGTTTGATCACCAGTATGCTGACATTGGCGGGGTGTTCAACAGCTACATCACCTGATAGACAGTCTTTGCAGCTCGTTTTACTGTCACTTGCAACTGCAACAATGCATCTTCAACACGCATGCCACGAACTAATGCAGCAACCAAGTTCACCTTCTTTGGACTCTGAAACCATCATTTGTGTCAATAATAATAACAGGATGCTCTGTCTGGAAAAAAAATTCCTGAAACTTGTGAACACAACAAATACAGCTCAACCAGTCTACCAGCAAACATCAAGCATAGCTTGTAATTATTCCATACGACAATTTCAATTGAACAACATTTAGGACTACAAAGAATGTTCAGCTTTAGGACAGAGTCACAGGATGTTTCCACATATGAGAATGAAATGATTGAATTAGTATTTCATAGCATGTGACACCAGGAGCGGTCTGACCAAATAAGGGATCAGACTGCTCTTAGAAACATAAAACAAAAGCAAACTCTCATAGTTCGGAGCCCAGCTCCAACTACTTCTTTGTAAGTGAGGTGAGGTACTTCTTTCGGTTTGAATAGATAGCTGGAGCCTCCTGCAGGTTCATCAAAGCTTATGTGAGCAAAGAACGGCTAGCAAGGCACTCCAACACTTAGAGGAAATCATCTATTCTAGAGTTACAAATCAGGAACTCTATTCTGTTGACTCTACCAAATAGAATAGAACCCGTCTTTTTTCATACTAAAAAGAAGAGTTTAATCCTGACTCAGAAGGAACGCTATTAGCTTCAAGGGCGCCTGTCAAAGGTCAAGGAGGAACCTGAGGGGACAACCGCTTTCTTACCAATCAAAAGTACTTGTGTATGGGGCCTGTTTGCTTCAGGCTCATTAACATGGCGGACCACAACTGAGTAGAGACCCTCTATTCCGCCTGAAACTCGTCCCCAAAATGGATTTAACTGGACTTCACGCTCTGCACCAACATAACTTAGTTGAACCATCAGGATAGATGACAGTCGTATTCACCAACGCCTCGTCTTTGATTAGTATGAGTGAAAGTTTGATCAACTTAATAATAATTGTCTTACTTGACTTGCTTACTAGTTGCCTTTCAAACTAATACCATAATTTGACTTGTGAATTTAGAGTTTTAAACTGTAACACTACGAGAACTATAGTTCCCTCAAAGGGGATTCATTTTTTAGGTACTCATTTTTTTTGTTTTCCCATCTGTCGTCCTTTAGGCTGTCTATTGTCAACCCCTTGACTGCTAATACACAACCTAAAAAGGGGGTTGAGCCCTAAAACCCACTCCTAGGCTAACTCCGCAGTCCATCCCCCCCTTTTCAAGGATATTTGAATGCCAAATACTTGAAATTCTACTTCCTTTATCTTTGGAAAATCAATTCCACAACATTGCAGTTGTTTGACTTTTCTTACAACTGTCTATATAATAGAGTATAGGAGGAGAACGCTTTCCAGATATAGAGCAGTTATATGACTTTCATAGAGTTTAGTCATTGTAAGGATAGGGAGCTACAAGTAGTGCTTGAATGGGAAGGTTCTTTTGAGTTGTTTTCTTTCAAGAATAAATGATTGAAGAAAAAGCTACCCAAAGGAAAAGTTAATCAGTCCAGTGTTAGGCAAAGCCCATTGTCAATGGATCGTTTCGTTGGAATGCTAGCTTGAACATAGCTACTCCCATTAAAAGGAATTTTGCACTCTACTATACATTATGTCCACAAACCGAATGAAGAAATCAATAGCAGTTCATCGCATTACCGAAGCTAAAGTACATGAGTAGACTACTTTCTTAGTAAAAATTTACTTTTATAAAATGACTTCATCGTCCATGCTGTGGGAAGTGTGGTATGCTACTTTTCAAGTTAAAAAAGGACTTATGCGAGACCATTTCAGTCCACACCAGAGAACTTGTCTCTCAGGCTAGGTTATATTGAAGCATGAATAGAATCGCTTTTGTTCCAAAGACCTAGCGAGTTAAATGAGTTCCTTCTTTTTTTGTTTTCCAAAGGCAGTTCTTTTCTTTCCTCGAACCAATGACTCGCATGTTCAGAATGTTTTTGAACATGGAATGTTTATACATTGGGGATTATAACCAGACTCACCCTTAGCTAGATAAAGCTAAAAGGACGATCAAAGATCTGCTAACCATCTCATGTCTAAATTCAAAGAACTATTCAGTGTAATCTAACTAGATATAAATAATGGAGATTTTACATGGACTAATCGACAAGTGGAAGTGGAATCAGGAAATGACCTGGAAGGTATCATGGAGAACGAATCTCCCAAGGGAGGTAACAGGCCTCCACAGCGCTCCAGGGTTAGTGGCAATGATACATTGACCATTGGGAATTGATGAGAGGATCTACTAAAGGGATCCACCAACTAACGCTCATTGATCTGCTATATGACAATTAGGTCAGACATATGAGATTTACTAACCCCGGAGTGCAGTCCATAGAATAATGGCCTAAGTTTGTTGTTTCCAATACTGAGTGCTCAACAGCGATTAAGGGAATCCCCTGTTGATATAACTAAAAGTGTTTCCAAAAGGGTTGACGGTTGTGTGGCCCTCATTCTGCTGGAAGTAGGAAATCAATCACGACACAACCGATGGCTTAGTCTCCTTCTCCGCTTCGACTTAACCACCTAACCTAATCTCTTAGAAAAGATCTGATAAATAGCAGCTACCTAAGGCTCTTTTAAGCCCTTCACCAATCATGGTCTTTCATCTAGTAAGCCCTAGTACTATGGTCTCCAAGCTTGACTACTCCCGGTGACAACGTACATGCTTTCTTTGACTCCATAGGGCCTTCTCATCAGTTGCAGGGTTTGGTGGCCCAAAATTGACTTGGTTTTGCCAAAAGGCCTCATCTCTAAAAGCCCGGCTTGTGAGGCGTCCCTCTTGAAGTAGGGTTCCAAACCTCGACTAGCTCTTGTGACATGCTACATTTCCCCACTCTATTCCCAAGTAAAAGGTGAGTCTTATGTGTCAATTTGTGGATCGTAGTCTCGCTTTCTTGTAATTCCTCCAGGTAACAAACGATAATCTGCAAGTATCAAATCATACATAAAATTAGAAGTCAATCCTAAAGTGCAAGCAAGTTCCCCCAAACAAGCTTACTGGTGTAAACTGGCGCAAACAAACGAACGGACCCTTACTTCTACAAGGTCAGACAAATTCTGACTTTAGCAAGGTACACTAATGTGAGTTCCATTTTTTAAGAAAGATTTTTTGTTTTGTAATGCAGAATTCTCCCTTGACACAATCTTTAATTGAAGTACAACATTATTAAAACTCTTTTGGGCTCATCATGCTATAGTTGCAGGGAAGAAAAAATAAGCAATTTTCACTTTAGTAGCTACCGTTTCACTTGCTCTAGTATTCACAAGCTTTAAAGGAATGGAATATTATGAAGCACCCTCCACTCGACCAATATTATAAAGAACTTAACCAATACAATGAGCGTGGATACATTTCTAAACTTCCTAAGGTATATCTTTTGAAATGATTTTACCAAGGTCATCTGCAAATAAATAATGTGAATTGTTTGACTTTTTAAGGGTAGATTAGAAAGTTTTTAAATGGCATGCATTCATTACTTGTCCCCTTTTAAAGTTGGTTTCCAAAAAAGACGCTCTAAATTTAGGAGAGCATAAGTAATTAAGTAGTATAGATAGAACTGATCTATGAGGTTTCTGACGTACCAACACATCTTTCGATTTTGCTACCCACAGCAGAATGAATAAATTAATCCTTCCAACCAAAAACTAGTATTTTTCCCCAAATCCTGTAAGCTGAGAATTCAAAATTCTATTGTCCATCAATTGAACTAAGATTGCCCACATAATGTTCAGTTGTTACTAAATTTAGTGTTGATAAATGTACTTCCATAGCCATAAGATCTATTCAGTCCCAGCATCAGCGACAAGGAAGCAACGTTAGGTAATGGCTGTTTTTAATAAGCTTTGCTACATATTCCCCTGGATTAATATATATTCACATTTATACCTTTCACTCGAAAATTTTAAACTAAAAAATGTAAAAGTACATAACATAACTTTCTGCATCATGAAAGTTATGTCAACCATAGTAATCAGCAAACTCTATCGCTCTGTTTAGAATAACACAATTCATGGTCACTTTCTGATGGATGTACTTCAACTCCAGTGCATTTATGGTTTATGGTTGAGCATTTTTGGGAAGGCAAATCAAAGTGCAAATAATGCCACCCTAGATTCTACTGTTTGACTAGCAGAAGTTTCTTCTCCAATAATAAACACAAATGGCTACAATAGCACCTGTATTGATGATAACAGAAAGAAAACAAAGTAAGGAAAGAAAAGGATAGTACAAGAAACAAGTGAGGAGCACACTATTATCAAGCAAGAAACTGAGGTCCAAGACAGCAATACACACTGGCTGCCAGCAGGGCTGGGTGGTTTTATAACTCAGTCTTCTATTCAAAACTCACATATAAATATCCACAACACACAGGACACACACATATCATTTGGGGGGTGTTTGGTTTCCCCATGGATACTGAATAAGTGATGTTTTTTTCACCAAGCATCTATAGTCAAACTGGTACTGTGATACACAATGTAGCACATTTAGCCTGACTAGCATAAGTTGAGTCATTTACTGAAACCCCAAAATGACCACCTCTGAAATCTTAAGCTGGACTTGCCTGAATGTACGACAGTTGTTGCAAACTTCTGTAAGATATAAATAAATGAATCTAGTGGCAACAGATGTTTGAATTCCTTACATATTCTCGATAAGTTTCAGACTTCTTAGATTTTTGTTGGTCATTGACAAGATTCGAGATAAAAGAGGCATTTCATACCTGTTTAATGCCTTTTAGAATTGCTTGAACATTTGAAGGTTTAGAAACTGCTTTTTGGGCTTCAGTTTTTCCACTATTTAATGCCAAAACTGGTGTCAATGGAGAAGGAATTGGTGATGCCTCAGATGAGTCTGCCAGTACCTTACTTGAGCTGGTAAAACCCTGCCACAATATAAGAAAGAACTTTACAGTAGTTAAAATAAGACCTTGGGGAAATAACGGAAAGTAAGTATACAGAATAAAAACTGAAGGAGACAAGCCCTTCATCTCAGTTTGGAACTGTGCTTTCAATCATTCAACTTAAGAGTCAGCACTTGAAAGTTGAAACATCAAGACAAATCGTAAATCCAACTGACGCAATAACTCTAAATCCTGAACTGGACCACAAAGGGTAAAGTATATACATATTACCAAGTCAAACAAGAACCCAAAATTGTTAATACTTCATGTATGCAGTGCAACTCCCAGCCCAGCAAGTAGCCACCAAACAAAAGTTTGCTTGGATGTAGTACTTAGCAGATATACAGTGGGAGGTGGCGGCTTTTAGGTGGAACAGTTTTAGGTTGTCTTATGTTTTCTAACCATAGGGCCAAGGTCTTTGCAAACACCCATAGGTAAATTTTTTTTTTTTTTTTTATATTGCTAGGATAATTTGTCACGAATTTTTAAGTAGGGAAACACTATTCAATTAATAAACGTCAACAACAAAATTACAACGTAATTTTTTCAAATTCACCAGAGTGCTATGCATCACATATAGGCTTTAAGGCAATGAATAAACAGATCAGATTACCAGCTGCTGCAGATATTGATATAAAGGACTTGAAAAGCTTGGAGAAGTTGAATTCTGCAGATTCCGCAGAAAAGGCATATCACCTGCACGAATTATCAATATTAACCAAGCATCACATATGAAGGGCGAACTGTCCAATCACTTTGAGATGTTTGAAAAGAAAGGCACGTCAATAGGCCATGAAAGTGAAGGCATTCTCAAATCATTGTCTATACATGAAGAAAATTGGACTAACAATTACACATCTTCAAAAACAAAATTGTTGAGTGCATTCTTCAAGTATTTATTCAAGAATCAACAATCACTTCAATAGAATTACCCATTACAAGAGAAGCCTTTGAGTGATAAGGAGAAGAGCTGAATGAACCATTGCAACTGCACTCTAATCTTTTCCCAGTCTGACGAAGTATAGACTGCAAATGTCGCTGCCAGCCCACCATGACTTCAGTTTAAAGTTTTCTTACGCAAGAATCAAAACATCTACAAACAGAAGCATCAAATTATTTTAGAGTTTAGCAAAGAAGAGAAACATAAGAACCATGAGATCAGACCCCATAACATAGTGAACAAGAAGTCAACCCAAGTAAAAAATAAGCCATTAGACCATGCAATTTTAAGCCACTCACTCATATCCAAGGAAACAGATAAAATAAAGTGCACTTCATTTTTCTTCCCCATAAGTAAGTGCTCTTCATTTTTACGATAAAGGAATATATGAACTCAAAATAACTAGCCGAAACCTCACATTTGTTTAATCATTAAAACAAACATAGGGCAAGGAACTGAGCAAAATTTAATATTAAACTCCTAGGCAATTTCTTAAAATGTAGCATATTAAAACTAAAACAAGAAAGTTTAAAATCAGCAAGCCCTCGCAATAATTCATTTAATTACAAATGATGTTTTGGCCAAATGAAGAGTATCCGAATCAGTCCACTATAGTTTTGCATGCACAATGGATGGAATCTTGTCATTTCTTATTTCTCATTTCCTTGATAAAGATCACCAAAGAATAGAGGACCCTCATCTAAATGGCATGCACACCAAGAAACTAAACATCAGAGCATAACAAAAGAAAAAAGCAAAAAGAGCAAACAAAAGGCAAACTACAAGAAACATTCCAGAAAAAAGATATGGATATATCAAAGCTCCATTGTGATATACAAAAGAATTAAAAGTTACCTTCTATCTTATATGAGGCAATGATGAAAAATGGAATTATTAGAAATGATGGAAAAATGGAACTATCATTCTTAGGAAAGTGATAATTCCCACTTCTTTAACAGTCTTACTCTAGCAGCACCTTTACATACGATGAGGTAGTATACAAGAGAAATACCTATCCATGCATAACCATCCAATCTCTCTATGAAACACTTGGAGCATGGTTGTGGTTATCCTTATCCATGTTAGATGATGGATAACCGGGATTGTTACACTGCATCCTAGGGAAGGTGTGGGCTGACCCTTCTGGGATGGGCCATGAAAGGTAATGTGAGGATAAATAGGTGTATGTTGTCTATTACACTAGAGGGTCATTAAAAATATAATTTTTGACCTGTAAAATTATGTTGAATAACAAAATTTTTAACAAAGGGACTCATGGGCATTTCATCAAACACATCTCATGCCCAAACATTAACAAACCAGAACACTAAAACACTTATATCAGCTTCTATATATTTTGGTTACAAACCAGCTTCAAAATCACTAGTACTATTACAAAAAACAAAGATAGTTCACCAATCAAATACATATTCAAGAAATAAAAGGACAAGATCAAAACAAAAAGAAAGAATGATTTTTTTACCGATCAAAAAAGACCGACTTTTTCTCAATACAAGCAGTTTTTAACACTGCTTTTTTTTTTTTTATTCAAAATCAGGTTTTTATTAATGAATAATGTAGAATCATGAACAAATCCAGAGACCCCGAAGAGAAAAATGTTAAATATAAACAGTTTTACACATATAGGTATTAAGTACGGGATCATAAAGAGCAAAATTGGGCACATTATTGGATGTACCTGGAACCGGAGCAATTGCCGGCGATTCGTCGGAGAAGTTTTCAGATCTTCAGTTTGAACAGCAGAGCATATAATTAGCTAGTCGGGACTGAAAGAGCAGAGAGAAAGAGGCGCGTTTAGCTTCCCATAATTTTCGAAACGACTGTGTTTTGAAAGTTTGAAACAGAACAGTAATCAGTCAAAAACATCACTTGTGTTGAGGGTCAGCAAAAAGGCCCAAGGACCCATAGGAGACTAGTGGCCCAACAGCGGTGGAGGCTAATTGGCAGCCCAGCACATCAGGGGCCCGACAGGGGTTGGGACAAACGGCTGTGGATGGTCCAATAATTTGGCAGGGTAAGGTCCCACTTTGAAATTTTAGGATTTACGAAAAAAAATTTCTAACTTTAACCGACCTCAATTTATTATATGGATGTCACATTTATAAATGTGATATATATTTTTATACAGACGGTGGAACAAATCCATGGGACCTCTCTTTTTTGCCGGGCTCTTCAACATGCCCAGGCAATTGAGAAGTCATCACTCGACGTGGTTGGGCCAAAAAATCTTTTGTCTGGGTCGGCCCAATCCATTGCTAACTCTTATTTAATAAGGAGATTCGGCGACAGTACGAATGATTTAAAAAGTTGGGAAATTTGGAAACTGGTCCCTGTAAATGAACTTGTTTGGAGATAAGTCCTGCAAGGAAACTTATTTGGGTTCAAGTCCACTTTTTGATAATTTTACCATTGTACCCTTATTTTTTGGAAAACTATAAACGGTGTGTAATTTGCCGTTTCTACACTAGACAGAGAAACTCTTCGTTGTCGAATAAGAACCCGAAAACTTCCCCTCCATTATAGGCTACAAATCCGGTTAAAATCCACCAAAATCTATCTCATCTTCCTTCTCTAAAAAACAGAAATTGTCATTACCCAAACTGATTTGGGGTCAAACCACCATTGCCCAAATTGGCTCCCTCTCAATCCTTGCCTTTGCTTCTCCAACATGCTTCTTTTCATTCAATTTGTTCAGACTGCAATAACTATTCTTCAGGCTCTTCTAGTGCGTCTGATTCATCTTTCCATGTTATCCATTTTCAAAATTTGTACTGGTTCAAAACCATAAAATCGAAAATCAGCATCACTCCTCAAGTTTCATTGGTGACATTACATTTGGTTTCGGCACTAAAGACTTCTCCACAAAAAGCTTTGGGATTCTTTAAATAATAGATAAGTATGTTAATTTACATGATATTTGATTTTTGTTTGAGTTTTTAAAACAAGATTTACAAAATATACTGTTCATACTTTTGAATTTTTTTTTCTAAATAAAATTGTCATTTCTTGTTACTATATTAAAAAATTGGGTATTATGATTTTTTTTTTTCGTTGTGTATTACATTCAAAATTGATTGACGTGGTTTCTTTAGAATTTTTCATGTTACTGTGAGAGAAATTTTTAAAATTTATTAGTGAAGATGAGATATGTGTTGACTGTCCTAAATCAACCATTAACAATATGTTACCATTAGTTCATGACATTAACATCAATTTTTAAATTGTTTGGTTTTTTACTATCTATTTTTTGAAATTCGATGTTACTATGCACAATATAATCTTGGGGATGAAACTGTTCATGTTACTATTACTTAATCAATGTGTTATATAATTAGATATGTAAATTTTTTTTTATTTTCTTCGTTGTTCAAGAAATTCGAAAACTATTGTTTCTAGAGTACATTGAAAATGTTCATGTTTTTGTGTGATAAATTAAAAATTGATTCATATTTCTAATTTATGGAAGTGTTTGGGTACTATGGATGTTACTAACAAAATAATGTTACTATAGTAACACAAATATAGTAACATTCATATTACTATAAATGTTACTATGAAAAAATAAAATTAAAACCTTATTTAAAAAAAAAACTCCGTTGAATGATGTTGCAATACGAACACTGATAAGTTACATTGAATTTCGGCAAAGAACAAAGAAAAAACAAAAATAATGAAAAATAAAACTTAGAACCTAGTTTCAAAAAAAAAAATTTAAATAACTCCAGTAAATAACATTGAAATGCAAATTCCGGTTAGTAACATTGAAATTCTGGCAAAGTAACTTCCAATTTACGATAATTTCAAAACAGCACTGTTAATCACGATATGTAAAAAAAGCCAATGAAAGTGAAAATACATTTGAAAATCAAGAATTAGTAGGTTGAACTGAAATCACATAAAAATTCGAACTCCCATCGCTGCTGCTATCACCTTCGACACTCCTATAAAATAAAAATGAAGTATCGGTATGTTATGAAGAAAGAAGAACACAACAAATTTCCTGGAAAAATTCATAAACGTTTAGATTTTTACCTTTATTTAGCACGAAAAAATAATCAATTCTAAATCCAATAAAAAACAAAAGTCTGTTACAGACACACGGATGGTATGCTTGATTCAAATTTTGAATTTGAATTTGAATTTTTAATGGAATCTTCTGATCCAAAATTGAATTAATAGACCACTAATTTTAACGTAATTGAAACATAATATTTTGATATATACAGTTTTCATAAAAAATTGACCAGTTTGTTACAATATATATCTCAAACATTTAACTTATGTCTTTTCATAATTGACAAAAGTTAACACCGTTAGGGGTATTTTTGAGATAAAAAAAAAAAGTGGACTTAGGTCAGTATATATAATTTTAAATATGGACTTAACTCCCTATAAGTTTCCTTGACGGACTTATCTCCAAACAAGTACATATAAGGGTACTTACCCCTAATTTTCACTAAAAAATTCATGTCTAAACTTATTGACAAATTAGATACGAAGAATTATAGTTTTCAATAATTTTTACTATTTAATATGCATATGCCAGATTACTTAGAAAAAATCAAACATACTAAGAGGTCCTAAACCTTGGCCCCTTTTGTTTTGACCCCTAATTTCATTAAGATTTAATTTCCAGTAAATTATACCGACCCCCCCCCCAAAAAAAATAATAATAATAATAATTTTATTTACTTATACCTTTCACTCTCTGAAATGCCATAAATTTCACCATCTCATACTTAAATGTTTTTAAATATTTTCATTTTTTGTCCTCCCCAAAGTTTGTTATAGTTATCAAAATTTGGAAACATCTAAAGAAAATGACCTCGGTATAGAAGTCAAGGAGGGGGAGTATGCCATAATACTAGATGGGGAATAGGTGTCAATCTGATAAGAAAGGGCGTAAGATCTGTGCAGTAGGGGTGGTAAAAAAACCCGCTTCTCCGATCCGAAATTGACCCTACCAACTGCAAACGGACGGTTTTTAATACATCTGATTCGGTTTTCGGAATTAAATACTACTTATCCGAAAAAAATTAGTTCGGTTGATCGGTAGCTCCATCTGAAGACCCGACTCACCAAACCACCCGCCTATTAAACATTAAACATATATAATATAAAACATATATCTCAAATCTGAACACCCACTCTCTCTCTCTCTCTCTCTCTCTCTCTCTCTCTCTCTCTCTCTCTCTCTCTCTCTCTCTCTCTCTCTCTCGAATCTGTCCTTAATCCTCATCTTCTCAAATGTCTCACACTTGCAAGTCTCTTAGAGCATCATATCTGGTCAGATCTTCAGATCTTGGTAGAAGCTATCTTCAATCCTCATCTTCTCAACTGTCTCACACCTACAAGTCTCCTAGAGCATCAAATTTAGGGTGTCAAACGCGTCGAGTTAAATGGTTACGTGTCGGATTAAATGAGTGACAGGTGAAAAATATATAAATCCATACACGACATATTTAATAAACAAATAAAAAATATAAACACGAACACAAATCGTTTAATAAATAGTTAACACGACACAACTTTAATTTTATTAAAATTTTAACCAACACCAAAAAATTATTCAATTAAAATTTTAAACTCCATTAATTACCAACGATAACTGAACTCTCTTAATTAAAAAATTTTCAGTTGAATGCCACTTACAAAAACAAGTGAGAAAGTTAAATGATTAAAGAAAGTGGATGTAGCCTTTTATATAGGCACGAGAGATCTCCTTCCTTTAAAAATGTCGACGTGGGATTCAAGCCAATCTCAGCATTGAAGCTAGAGTAAGAATGTTAGTGGACTGAAGCGGGGGCGGAGGTGTAGTCTTCATCTCCGTACCCGCTTAAAAAAACTCCGTTCATTCCCAGTCCACCCTATTAACAGATATAATTTTCATCCCCCGGTCCCCGTTTCCCCCGTACCCCCCCACCCAAGCCTAAAACCAAAACCAAAAGCTAAGAAAAGTTATATTTGCTTGCCAGTGAAAAAAAATCCAGAAGCTAGTACATTCATTTTTGAACGAGGAACTAACTGCATTAAAAAGCTTGAAATTTAGAGAGAAAAAAAAAATTCCTTCAAGCAAAATCAACATGGCGTGGGGGATTGGAAGTTAGGAAAACGAATTGATTTAACTATTATTTTCAATTAGAAATAATCCAAGAGCATGAGTCAACTAGGTATAGAAAAATTTATGAAGCCATTAGCTATTAATCTACATGCAACAAAATGCATTTTTGATATCACAGCCCAGCAAATTCCCAAAACCGTAGTCTAAAAGCTAAGTTCAGAATATAATCAGCATCAAATATGACATGAGAATCATTTTAAGCAAAAGGAACTCTATGAAATTGCTAATGCATAATCAGCGGAAGAATGACGCGTTCACATTGCAATACAGAGTGTTCGGGAAGACCACCTTCATAATGTGCAAAATGTTCTCTAATCCATGTACACATAAATAGTGAGATTCATTAAATATCAAAGACATACACATACAATAATGAAGTCACCCAAGATAAGAGAAACGCAGAGCAATTTTGAATGGCGTAAAGGATAGAGTAGAGTAGAAACCAGGAAAGGCCTGACTCACCAAGTTCCTTATGTACTAGTTGTATGATTGTCCGCTACGTGTTTGCTTTATTGTCGCACAGACAAAACCTGCATCGGATTCGGAGAGCACCTTAGTTTCTGTTCTAGTGCCGAGCAGGAACACAGCAGGAAAGATCTGAGAGAGAGTAAGATCTGATACCAGATCTGAGAGAGAGAGATCTGATACCAGTCGGCGTTGAGCAGGAACACAGCAGCGGAGATGGAGGCGGCGATTGATAGAGATTAGAGGAGGAAAGTAAAATGAAAAACTTTTAATTTTTTTTTTACCCTCACTCAATAAATATAATAAAGTTCATTATATCCCTAGTACCCTTTTAACTTCTTAAATTAAATACACAAACCTACCATATTCCATGATCTTCTAAAATTACTTACATTAACAAACATATATGTCTATACTACTTATAACCCTAATTAATTTTTTATTATCAATCATGTCCTAGTGCATCATTTAACCTACTTTCAATACTATATTATCTATCTATCTCAATACTTGTGGAAAACTTTTGATTGATAATAATATCCTTAAAACATGCTAACAATTAAATAATATTATTTTGTTGTAATTTTTCACTAGGCTAGAAATCTCTCTTGCGAGATGTTGTCAATTAAAGAAACATAACTCTTATAGAACCCTTAGACATATCTCTAATCCCATCACGTGACTAAAATGAAAATATAACTTTTACAAATCATTTGTTCTCTATGGTATTGCAAGGTAATGCTCAGGTGTATTTAAATACTTGAAATAGTTATGTTCTTAAAAAAAGGCAAAGAAGAAAACTCCTAGCGATATATTTTCATGAATGGAACAAAAATACTGGTAACATGTTGTAAGTTGAGTAGTTCTATTTATTTAATTTTGTACCTAAATTGACCAAATTAGAATTAACATGTGAATTTAGAATCAAAAATTATTATTGTTCTTCTTATGAAATTTTCCAACATATATCTTAAGAATCACTCAATTTGAAAGAACATCATGTTATCTTAAACACCATTGAGTTTGACTTTGGATATTTTTTCTTGTTTAGACTTTGTATATTTAGATCTATTTATTAGAAGATTGTTTTTTTGCCATTTACATAAGAAAAATAGTAGACATAATTATTAACATATTTGTGATCAGCGGGGTAAGAATTTAATGGCAGATTTCATTGGTGATCATATAGTTTGATTTGGAGAAAACTAAAAACCAAAATTATAATTTAAAATTATCAGCGTGCAACGCACGCGTGCATCAACTAGTATATATATATATATATATATATATATATATATATATATATATATATATATATATATATATATATATATATATAACGGGTATTGCGGGGGCGGGGGCCGGGGTAAGAGAAAATTCATCCCCGCCTCCATTCTCGCACGGGTTTATACGGATATTTTTGTATACGTCCACCATCTAATACGTATAATTCATCTCCGATCGAAACGGACACGAATTTGAACGAATACTCGTTTTTCTCCGGTCCACTGTCATCCCCATGCTAGAGCCTATCTCGGGCCCAATTTTGTTCATACAAGCGGGACCCAGATCTTGATGAATGGGAACCCGCTATTCCTGAATGGCTTCAATGCTTATTGGTTAATGTACATGGCATCTGACTCATCTATGAGGGTGAAGGTAACAACCACATTCAAACAAGCTTCCAAGTATGGGATGAATGTTGCCAGAACTTGGGCTTTCAGTGATGGTGGTTACAAACCCCTACAGTACTCCATCTCATCTGCAGAAGTCAGAAAAAGAGCACAAAGAAGCAAGAAATACCAGAGAAAACAGAGAGAGAAACAAGAAATGCGGACGAAAAATTTTAAAATAATTATTAATTTTTTATTATATTAATTTTTTAAACGGATAAACGGGTTGACAGATCTCACCCGAATATGACTTGTTTATTAAACGTGTTTAACGGGTTAACTTGTTTTACCATTTGAACCTGTTAAGGTCTCACCCAAACCCACTTAATTTGTACCGATTCGTGTCGATTAATCGTGGCGTGTCGAATTTTGATAGGCCTAGTCAGATCTGATCAGATCAGACTTGCAAGTCGTAGATCAAATCTTCTTCATAGCACATTCTCTCGGAGGGATTGGAACGATTAAAACTTCATTTTTGTGTATCTATTTTTTATATGTGTTCTCTTCTTTTGGATCTGATATCTGTTTCTGATTTATGTATGTTTTAAATAAATGAATCTAAATCCTTTTTTAGATCTCTAATTATTGAATGTTTTAAGTTTTTGAATCATAATTTTTTTCTGATTTGATTTGGGCATGTATTGATTTGTTGAATCTAAATTTTTTTTTTAATTTTGTTCATATTTGATTCGTAATTTTCGTATATGTTGAAAATTCTCGAATTCAAATCTTTTTTTTTTCTAGATCTGATTCAAAAGTGTGGGACTGAACCAAAAACTGACCAACACATTGGGTCGATTGTCCGCTTGGTTGGTTGTGTGGTTCCGTTCGGTTCGGTTACTTTCGACTGCTTACGGGATTGGCTAGCAGAAGTTGACACTTCCGCCCCTATTTGTCAGTTGAACACCCTTACTGTGCAGTATATAGAATCATCGTTAGTGTTTGTATATATATATATATTAGTTGATGCATACGTGCGTTGCATGTAGAGTATTTTAAGTACAAATTAATGTATGTTTAAATCATGAATAACTTTCTTCAAAATTTACAATAAAAGTAAACACGGACAATCTAATGATAACAATCAAGTCTAGTGAGTCCACTCACACTTATCAACTTTTTTAGATATGTATCCACTAAAACGTTGATAAAACTTCATTTTTGTGTATCTATTTTTCATATGTGTTCTCTTCTTTTGGATCTGATTTATGCATGTTTTAAATAAATGAATCTAAATCCTTTTTTAGATCTAATTATTGAATGTTTTAAGTTTTTGAATCAGAATTTTTTTCTGATTTGATTTAGGCATGTACTGATTTGTTGAATTTGAATTTTTTTTTTAATTTTTGTTCATATTTGATTCGTAATTTTCGTATATGTTAAAAATCCTCGAATTCAAATCTCTTTTTTTTTTTTTTTCTAGATCTGATTCGAAAGTGTGGGCCCATTCCACCATATGACTGAACCAAAAACTGACCAACACATTGGGTCGATTGTCCGCTTGGTTGGTTGTGTGGTTCGGTTCGGTTCGGTTTGGTTACTTCCGACTGCTTACGGATCGGCTAGTAGAAGTTGACACTTCTGCCCCTATTTGTCAGTTGAACACTCCTACTGTGCATTATATAGAATCATTGTTAGTGTTTGTATATATATATTAGTTGATGCACACGTGCATTGCACGTGGAGTATTTTAAGTACAAATTAATGTATTTTTAAGTTATGAATAACTTTCTTCAAAATTTACAATAAAAGTAAACACGGACAATCTAATGATAACAATCAAGTCTTGTGAGTCCACTCACACTTATCAACTTTTTTAGATATGTATCCACTAAAAAGTTGATAAAACTTCATTTTTGTGTATCTATTTTTCATATGTGTTCTCTTCTTTTGGATCTAATTTATGCATGTTTTAAATAAATGAATCTAAATCCTTTTTTAGATCTAATTATTGAATGTTTTAAGTTTTTGAATCAGAATTTTTTTCTGATTTGATTTGGGCATGTACTGATTTGTTGAATCTGAATTTTTTTTTTAATTTTTGTTCATATTTGATTCGTAATTTTCGTATATGTTAAAAATCCTCGAATTCAAATCTTTTTTTTTTCTAGATCTGATTCAAAAGTGTGGGCTCATTCCACCATATGACTGAACCAAAAACTGACCAACACATTGGGTCGATTGTCCGCTTGGTTGGTTGTGTGGTTCCGTTCGGTTCGGTTACTTCCGACTGCTTACAGATCGACTAATAGAAATTGACACTTCCGCCCCTATTTGTCAGTTGAACACCCCTACTGTGCATTATATAGAATCATCGTTAGTGTTTGTATATATATATTAATTGATGCACATGTGCGTTGCACGTGGAGTATTTTAAGTACAAATTAATGTATTTTTAAGTCATGAATAACTTTCTTCAAAATTTACAATAAAAATAAACACGGACAATCTAATGATAACAATCAAGTCTTGTGAGTCCACTCACACTTATCAACTCTTTTAGATATGTATCCACTAAAAAATTGATAACATGGTATGTACTAATTCAAATGCTTGAAATAACAACTAGAAAATGAGGGGACAAAAATATAAAATAAGCTGTGCAAGTTTCATTTTCATGAGCATGAGCTGAAAGCAGACATCTACTTAGAAAAAGAGATTCACTTCACAGGCTTACAAGAATGAACAAAGAAAGTTGGTTAGCTTTTCTTATAGATGCTTTAATGTCATGCAATCCCTTTCTTTGACATGTATTCTTGCATGTGAGATCAGACATAAAGCTCAAAGTCTGTATGTAAGTTCTGTGATACATGTATCAAGATGCCACTGCAATATATTTTCAATATGTTACAACCATAATGATTTTCTGTGAAGATAAGGACTCCCAAACATTGTATTCATAAAAAGATGTCGAATATATTGCAGCCATCCTAACACCATAAAATTTTAGGGGCTGGTATGTAGATCATGAACGAATGTGGAGTCTGGGTTGCTCCATCAACCAAACAAATTTAGTCCCAACAATGTCTGCAATAGGGTGTTCAACCCAACAACAAAAATTTAAGTGCGGATAACTTTCACTTTTGTCCTCCAAAAAGAGTGGGAAATACGGTTTGATACAAATAATGCGGACTACCACATTTGCCAATACCACTTTGAAAAGGAATTAAACTATATGTATGTATTCTCAGGCCTCACGTTTCCTCCACCCCATTTGAGGAACAAGAGCAAGATTGATAGCTATTTTGCCAAACAGAACTAAGTGACGTTGAAATCCACGAATAATAGCTTTTGCTGCAGCAAGAATGCTCCACAAATTTAAAGGAATTAGACCAATACAATTGATGAAAATGCAATTGTGCATGTGTGAACATCAATTATCCAATGAAAAACTCAGACACGTTCTATCCAAAATAAGAAAGCTGTCCCACAAAGTGGAAAGTAGTAAGAGAGCGAGAGTCCTTTAACTTCATATACTACTTCCCCGACAATTGATTTGATTACATACTTTTGAATTAGAATCTTACTTTCTGAAACTGTAAATACTTATTTGTAAATATTAGAATTAGCATTACTGCTAACAACTTTAATTCATTTGATATCGTTCGGGCAACAGATCTCTGCTTCCCTGAATTGCATGGTGGCAGAGGGACGATTCAAGTTCCATTGGAGATGCCAGAAGGACAAGATTCGTTAGCCAAGCGCGCCTATTACAGCGCCTCTATTGCAGAAGCGAAAGCGATGTACCCTATTGACCAGCCGAAGAGCATCCTTATAAATGAATGGGAAGCAGGCCCGGTCTATATTGTTAGAGTTATGTTTATTTCACCCCCACGTACTCCTCTATTCTTATATTTGAATTCCGTCTTTAAGCTTCCCCCTCTACTGTAGTTGCACTTTTGTCTCTATCTGGCGGTCCAAAACGAGGGTATCGGTCCATTCCATATTCCCGTTCTCTTATAAAGAATGGGTCTCTTCCCCTGGCCTCGTTGTTTCTATGAAGAAAAGATAACAACGTAGATGTCAATATATATATATTCATGTTGCCAACCTGAATAGTCCAAACAAAATCAACTGAAATGGTTTCGGTTTTACACAAACAACAATGAAACACAGTGGACATAGTGAATAAAATGAATTCTACTAAATATTCTATTATATGAAATCGCCTTCAATCAAATGAAGATATGTACAACACTGAAATTACCATCAATATGGTAACAAATTCTAGATCAAAAATAGCAAACACTACAATATGGACAGATGGGAAGCAAAGGGACCCCTTTACTTTTCAATACCATACCGAAATGTAGGTTGTGGTACAGAAGTCAAGTCCTAAAAACTTAGTCTATTGTTGGGCTCAAATCCAATTAAATAACTTTCTAAAATTAAATTTGGTTGGATTTAAATTCATAAGATCAATTTGCTGATGGAGATGTAGTTTGCCTTTTTTTCACTTGAGAAATATGTTGTACTTTAAAAATTAAAATTTGCGTCTCGAAATAATAAAATAGAGGCTATACAATGCAGGCTCACATTAAAAATATAATAGAGAAAGTGAACAAAAAAGTGAGAACAACAACGTAGAAAATTACAAGGTCCACAAAAATAATAAGAAAGAAAGAGAACAAAAAATAGAAGAGAAGAATGAAAATTTTGCTCTTCTAATCGAGATTGACATGTTCTATATTTCTTGGAAAACATAAATTCTTTTGGGTTACAAACCCACTTTCTTCTAATGCTTTGCAGAATAGAATGGAGTGGAGGAAGAAAATATATTGGACATATTTTTAAACACAAAAAAGGTAAAGCTTGTGTTAGTGACTTAGTGCTTTACTAATAAGATTGAAAAGGGCAAGTCAAAACCTACACTTAACAAGTTTATAAGCTCGGCTTTCTGGGCTACCTACTTAGTTGAGATGATTTTGGTAAACCGATGCATAGATAGATTGAGTCTTCGATGTCCCGAATTTAGCAGAGACGGAATTGAAGACATGTCATTGATGATTGTTTGGTGATATAAAGGTATTATATGAAGTAATTAACATAATATAGCAAAAAAAAAAAGTTATTTTTTAAATTTCATTCATTCATATTCTCAAAATATGTGTTTGATATGAAAAAACGGATGGAAAATACTACATGAGAGTAACTAACATAATATAGTAAAAAATTGGGTTGCTTGGTTTTGTTATCCAACATACCAAGGAAACCATAGACGATATGAACCTTAATGAGAAAAAAAGGTAAATTGATGCAAAAGAATCAGAACCCACAATTACCTACAGTACATGGAGAACCTGATTTAGAGCAATTTGGTCTAGAGGATTTTAAATTTCTCAACAAACTAAGCAAAAAAAATGAAATTTATTTGTCATCTATATTGGGTTGCTTGGTTTAGTATATCCAACATACCAAGGAAACAATAGACGAATAAACCTTAAAGAGGAAATAAAGTAAATGCATGCAAAAAATCAAAACCCTCAACTACCTAGAATAAATTGATAACTTGATTTAGACTAATTTGCTCGAGAGAATTTGACACTCTCATCAAACTAAGCCAAACAGTGAAATTTATTCAACATCTATAGAAAACGGAGGTGTACCTCAAGCAAATACTTTCCATAGTTTCGAAGCTGTAGGGAATTTGTATGATTTGCATTCAAGATCTCTGGCAGAAATTATGATTTGATCGATGTTACCACCCACATTCTCGTGTTCATTGCAAAAAAGGCAAAACCACAGTGAAATAGCATAATATAAAGTTCAAGAAGTGAGAAAATGAATACCTGTATAACCTTTCACAATTCTAGGAGAGAGGTGATTGAATTGGTTAAGCATGTTTTTAGCTTTCTGTACAGCAATATTTAAAAAAAGGAGCAAGAGACTCATAATGAACAATGTGGACATGGTAAAACTCAAAAGACTAATTTCATCACTAACTAATCTAACACTAAGACCACTCCATAAAGATAGCATTCATTGGATCCAGTCAATTACCTCACAGAATACTCACTCACAATAGTGACTATGGCTTTCACTCCACTTATATTTGACCCACTATATGGATAAGACACAAGGCTTATTACTTTCAAGCTTAGATACTTGCCCACTCACAAACAACTCCAACAATCTAATTACAACCTACAACTTAGGTCAACAAATCAATTATAAATAAATCCCCGATTTTTATTGGAAGACTATCCTGAAATTGAACTTCATTGATCAAAAACCAGTCTCCATTCTCACTTTCCACTAATAACTAACCTTATGATTCGCACATCTATATTTTTCGTAATTGATTAAGACATAAACAAATAATAGAATGCTTATGCGATTCCCACTAAACGTCATTGCTTATGCTACCAGTGGACCCATGACACTCTGGCTGTGGTGATCATAGAATCTCTAGTCCTCTCATTCAGCTCTAGAACCCAAGAATTTCACTTTGTTCCCAACA